GGTACCATCCAAAGAGCTGAATAATACCAATTTTAAAAAAAGACCGAAGGGGGGGGGGGAATCATATACTGTACATCTATATAAGTTAGTGTAGCAATACAACAGCAGCTTTATTTTATCTTAATTTCAGAAAGGGGTATCATTTTGCTATGCCACTCCATGGGTTTTGATTCATTTTATTCCCTTTATTAGTTGTGGCCTGGTTTGCTGTGGCAGAGCAGTTCTCCGCACCTCCTCCTCCGAAACGTGAAATGAAAGCAGAATGGCTGGGTTTTCTAGAGCCTTTAGTGAATACGGACCCAATCCAAGGCAGATTATTGACCGAATAAAAAGGATTTGCTTTTCGCTAATGCTGACACATTGATTTCAATGGGGACTAAGTGTGACTCACTTCCCCGAGTAGGGGCTCTATATTGGCTCCTGCACTGTACTTTCTACAGTGAAAGAAATCAGGATACCGGATGGTGGTGGATGCAACCGGGGGGGGGGAGAGCCCCCCATTTTGCCTGACATGATCCAAAAGACCATGCTGGGCTCCTGCTGTCAGTGGAATGCCATTGCCTTATTTGCCTGCCTTGGACTGCAGGGCTAGTAATCTGTGTTGGGCAGGATAAAGCCATCTTGTTGAAGCACAAATATGGCTTTTGAGTTGCTTGATTTACCCGTGGTTCTCTTGGCTTTACAATTCCCACCAACCAGGATGCCCAAAGTTCAGGGATGATGGGGAGCTGCAGTCCAATGACATATGGAGGACCTCAACTTACCCCATCCCTATCGTGGATGGACCTGACCATATGTTTGGGCTCTGCTGCCCAACCTCACTCTCCACCCCTGGCCCCACTTTTCAACATCAAACGCATCAACGGACATTTCTAAACCGTATGTTGATAGCGTGTTTCTACCACTTTAAGAGGCACGGCTTCCCCCAAGGAATCATGGGATCTGTAGTTTTCACACCGCAGAGCTACAATTCCCAGCATCCTCGGCAAACTAGAAGTTGCAGGACTCTTTGCAGGAAGCCACGTGCTCTGAACATGTGGCTGTGACTTTAGAGCCATTTTTCAACGGACTGAGCTTCTGGAACACCGTCAAGGAAGGAACAGGCAGACACACAAGGGCTGTGAAACATTTTGAAATAGGTTTAAGGAAAAGGGAAAACCTGCGGCTAAGATGCGTGCAAAAAGACAGAACACAGTTCACAAGCAGAGACCCCACCCTACAAAAACAAAAGCCCCCCCCCACATCTGTATATTTAGAAATGAACAAAAGGAAGCACAACCGTTAGCATTTTGCTTCACCCAAGAAAGAAAATGTGTGGGTTTTGTTTTTTTTTTAAAGAGAAATGAAGTCAAAAGGCTAGAAAGATGGAAAGACCAGCTCATGAAAACCTTCCTTGTAGATGCCAACCCGCACTCAAAGCACGGCTGCGAGGCAGAGAGAAGCAGAACCTTATACAATGAAGCCTCGGAAAAACACCGTAACCTTGGATACAGTTTCCAAGGACACCGGGGCCCTTAGCTAACAGGATCACAGCGCAGGGGATGGATGAACACAACGCCAGTCTTCCGAATGAGTTGGATACGCTATAGCAGAAGAAGCCCACTCCAGACTCCTCCACCTTCAACGCAACCAGCCTTCATCAGTGAAAAACAAAACATTGCTCACGTTGCAAAAACACAAAGAAAGGTGTTTCGTTTGTGTATTGTTATTTTCTCCCCCTTTCCGCGAATGTTCCTTTGGTGGACTCTACAAGGCACTGTGACTAACAGAAGCCAGGCGATTACTTTCCCTTCCCAGATCCGTCGTGAGCCTTAAACACAGGCACAGTTCAATAAGCTCTGCCGTAATTAGACCTGAAGAGCTGTCTTTACTTCCCACTGACTGATCTTTCTCTCTCTCAATCCTCGGCCCGTCTGAATACAGGCTAAAGAGCAATCTGGAGAACAAAATTAGCACGTAAAAAATTGACATCCTCCTTGGATGAGGGGCACTTTTGCCCCCAGTGCTTGAATACTCAGGTTTGCGGTTAAGGCTCTGCAACAACTTGTGGGATGAGGTTTGTTGCTTAGTCTCACTGGAACTGCTAATAAAAAACTCCCAACTCCTCCGTTATGTGCAGATCGGTCTGATTCAGCAACATGCGTGAGATCATTCCCATGGTTCAAATTTAGGCACGTCAGGCTTGCTGATGCGCCTGAGCCACAGAAGACCTGCGGTGGGGTCTTAGTAGCTGAATGCCAGGGGGGAAGTTCAGAGGATATCGCTTCTCCCAGGGAAGCACTATGCGGAGAGTGTGCACTTTTCTCTATGGAAAGATGCAGGATGAAAGATAAAGTGGATTACTCTTTTTGCCACATTGTCATTGGTGCTCAAGATATTAAATTTCCCACTGTGCCACTGATGTGAGAGCCTAGTTTAGTGTCTTCTGACAAGACCCCCAAGTTTGACCCCGTTAGCACTTATGACTCCCAAATACTTACTTTTTTGGGTGTGCTTAAAGGCACCAAAAGATAATTTCCTTATGAACTGCTATTTACTGAACCCACTGGAGTCCTGACTACGGTTTGGCCAACCACGCAAGACTGGATTGAAAGGGAGCATCCACCCAAAACGAGGCAGCTCATTGTTCCATGGAAGCGAAACACCCAAGGGAATAAATATATAACCATCTGACAAGCTGTTTCCTTCCTACAGCTCCTGCTCTCTGCCCTACAGCGCTTTTCAGATTTCTAAAGCCGGGAGAAATTTGGTGGCCAGGCTCCTTCCCTCCTCGCTGAAGCATCAGGATGGGGGAAAGCTGGAATGTGCTGGAAATTCTTTGCAGCTGTTAAAGGAGACCTAAGCTGTGCCTCCAGTTGTCAGGCTGTGCTGTCGGTTGATCTGGTCCTCAGCTAGAGAGGAAACTCACCAGAATGCGATATGTATAAACAAGCTGGCCAGAAGCTGGGAGAGATCAAGAACTCACAGCAGGCATACGCAGCAACCAGCTCCCAGCTGTGCCTTTGGTTGCCCCACACCTGACATCCACATGATGCACCAGGTGTGGGGAAGGTGGGGTTTCTGGGGAAGGGGAAACTGGGACCCCTGTGGGCCAGAGGTCCCCCACCCTGCAGTCCTAAGCGCTGCCAATGGTGGAATGGGGGAATAACTTCAACAGTGGTGGATCATGAAGCACAGCACACTGGGAAGATGGGGCATCACTAGGCCAGTCCCCACCAACCTCCAACCAAGGGAATGGCATCAGGTTGCCAATCCAAGTGAAGGGAGAGATCAAAAGCTCACAGCAGGCAAGTCTCTAAAAGAAAGGGAGGCATGAGCATTGATTGTTTAATGCAGGCATAAACTCTGGCCCTCCAGATGTTTGGGACTACAATTCCCATCATCCCTGGCCACTGGTCCTGTAAGCTAGGGATGATGGGAGTTGTAGTCCCAAAACATCTGGAGGGCCGAGTTTGCCTATACCTGGTTTAATGCTATAATCAGGCTGCTTGGTTCGTTTAAGCCTAATTAAACAGCTCCCCGCCTGCCTTCGGTTTCAGCGAGGTGGTTTGCAGTCTGGAGGTACTGAAGAAAGGGAACGGGGAAAGAAAGAAAAGCCCATTTTGCTCCACTGCGTTCTCTGCACCATTGCCCTCTCAAAGCTGCAAAACGACCCAGCCACCCTCAAACTGTCATCGTACCACAAAGAGGGTGCGTTTGAGAAACGGCCATTTAATCAATATAAGCTGGTTATACCCTTTGGAGGCTCTCACTCTCTCTGCAAACTTAATGGAGGCGCAAACAGTGGTAATGCCCTTTAGAAGAAGCAAAAAGAAACCCCCCATATTTTCACACTTTGAGAGCCCTCCACCATTCCGCATGTCTATTTTTATTCCACACTGCCAAATTTGACAGCTGATTCATTCTAGGGAGAGGTCTTAAGGTTGTAAAGGTCAGCTGCTTTCAAAGTGCCGGGGGAGGGGGGCTTCTTTAAGGGCAGACTCGCAGATTTAAAGTGAAGCCAACACACGACTCCACACCCCAATGAATCCTGGGAACTGTAGCTTCCCCCTCGCAGCGCTACAGTGCTCAGCACCCTTCACAAACCACAGTCTATTTGGGGGAAGTCATGTGCTTCAAGTGTGCACCAGATTTGCTTGAAATCTACGGCGTGGATCTGCCCAATTGTTTCCTGCCTGTGCCCCAAAACTCAGTAATGGTAGTTTTGTCTGAGAATACCTGCAAGCAATTCTGAGCTGACATGCTTAAGGCCAAGAGTGCCTTGTCAGTGGGGTGGGGTAGGGGGAAGGAGGTGGGGAGAAGGGGACCCCTGACACTTAAACCTGGTTTTGGAAGTTCACCATGTGAGAAGTGAAAAACTATTCAAGACCTTGCTCAAAAAACAAGAACCACCCAACAAGGATCCCGAGCCAACCCTGTCTCCTTCTGTCTTTGTCATCCTAGGGGCTCTAAGCCACTTGAAACAGAGGTTATCACTTGCAGGGGGCTGGAGAGATCCCTCCACCTTCATGAAGCAGACAAGAAATTTGCCAGCACTGGAAGGGCAGACTGTGCTGGTCAAATGCTACTCAAGAAACACAGTTTGTGCCTCAGTGCAATCCACGCCTCCACCCTACCCCCAAATCAGTGGATATTTCCAAATTCTTGAGAAGTCCATCACAGGGAATTTGCAGATTTAAAAAACATAGTGGCTTTCACCTTTTTGGAAGAGAACAGCTAGTCTAAAAACAAACAGTTTATATATACACACTTGAACCCAGTCTTCCCCCAAGCTGGAGACGTCTGGGTGCAGCAGACTACAACTCCCAGCCCCCAGCCAGCATGGCCGTGGATCTGTAGCCCAGAACGTCTGGAGCACTCCAGCCTAGGGATGACTGCCCTAAGCGCTAGCTCAGAAGTTTCCACATCTGTTGACAGCCCTCCCCACCCCACCCCCACTGCCCCTCCAGTGTATTCTTCCCCTATCGAGACCAAGCCGAAGCTGAAGGAACAAAGTCCGCTTAAAGTAGGTCAGGCAAAATGAGGCCCGGGGGTTTGGGCTCAACGCAGTTGATCCAGAAGTTGGCGCAGCTGGCGTGATACTGGTGCCCTCCGTAAGCAAGTTTGAAATTGTCCGTTTCCCGAGTTAAAGGCCTGCGGGGAAGAAGGGGGGAAACAAACAGCAGAGTTAGGAACCGCCGTGATGCTCCCATGTGCTGAAACATTGCGCCACGGAGAGAGGCCTGGGTGCCGGCGACGCACAGGGTACACATTGACAGCCAACAAACACATTCAGTCTCTTCGTGGAGCTTCCTAACAGCTCGCAAGCCATCGCCATCAAACCACGGCCACAGCTCTGGGATAAACCAGCAACAGAGGATCCTCAATCTCCACTTTGTGCGATCGGAAAGAGCATTTAAAGGCAGCTCTTTTAAAGAAGTGGGAAGAGAAAGAGGCTGGTTGAAGGCAGAATCTATTTTGTTTGTTTATGGCACGGTGCTCCTTCCATCTCAGGCAAGGCAGGAGGCTATAAGACAAGGAGCGAGAGAAACCTCAGGCCTGCGGCCCTCTAAGCTTCTTAACCTGGCTTTCAGGACCCTCTCTAGGCCACACCCCTCGCTGGCCCTGCTTCACACCCAGACCATTTGCTTTCCTGGCTGCAAATGTGTCCTTGATTGTGCCTCTCGCTTGCCTGGATGCAGAGGTGGCATGTAGACCATGGGCTGCTGTACAAAGGTAGAATTTGGACTGAAAAGCTCTGCTTGCCCTTCCTAGACAGAGAGGGGACCTTTCGGGTGGCTGCATCCCAGCAGGGGAATGTTCCCCTTGCCCCAAAATTCATGTGAAATCTAGCCGGCCTGCCAAATCATGTGATAGTATATCAAGGGAGAAAGCATGGCGGAACCCTGAACCGGGGGCACTCCCATTAGGAGGCAAGGAGGACGCACTGCAAGGTTTTGCCGGCTTAAATCTAGCGTGGGAAACCACAAAGGAGTTGAAATGCACCTGAGAGCAGTTTCCGACTTGGGCGTTGGCTGGCAAGCCGCTTTTCAAGGAAGCAGCCCACACACACAAACACCCAGGGGCTGATTTGTCAATGGCTGAACAAGCAGGTGGAGTACTTTGGGAAGAGTGCTGCTTTTGGGGGAGTGGAAGAAATGCACTTGTTTTCTCGCTGGTCTGAAGTCGCAGCTATTCACCTCTCAGATATCCAGAATGCAAAGCACTTCCATGACTTTAAGAGATTCTATGTAATCGTGTGAGAAACAGCTGTAGGAGTATAATGACTGTACACCAGCTTTGAAAACAACCCCTAACTTTGCACAGTAGATAAAAATAAATGAAGTATCCTTGGGTAAAGCCCCTTAATTCGTTGCAAATGATGGAGCCCAGCTAGTCTTTGCTCCCATGGAGGAATCGTGGAACACACAGAACCCCACACCTTGAACAACACGCAGGAGCTAAGAGAGAAGCAGTCATCAGGCTGAACTAGACCCCCCCACAATCTTGAAAGAGAAGGTGACCCCCACAGACCCCTCCATCAAAACCTGAAAAGTTTTTAACATCTTCATGCACAGTGAGGGTGGACGGCACAAGCCCCTCCTGCCACAAACACGCAAGGCGAGATAGGTAGGAGCCAACGACACAGACAATTCTTTCTGCCACACCACAACACAGACCACCACAAAAAAAGCAGATCTATTCACAAAGCAACAGGCATGCCGACACGAGAAAGACTCGGTTTGTGCACAGCACTATGCGAAACCATGGATTAGTGGGAATGTGCAAGAATGCAGGCTCCCTGAGAGGAGAGTGTCCCTTCTTCGATCCTCCTCTGTCCCAGTTTTAGGCTCGGCGCATCATCTGGACCCGGGCTTGCCGTTCATCTCCTCACGAGTGGTGAAGTATAGAACTAACTTTGATCAGAGTTTGTGGTTTGTCTAGAGTGAGACAAGCCATGAAACTGGGTTCAGATGACACGCTTGGCCAAACCATGGTTTAGCGGGCAGCGGCAGGACCAGAGGACGGAACAAAGCAGCTACTTGCCTCCTTTCTGGAAGGCCCACACGCTTGCAGGCTTGCACTAAGCATTCAGTTTGAACCAGGCCCTTTAGGGGAACGGACTCGAGTGCGAGTTAGTTGATTAAAATTGAGAGGTTAGAGAGAGGGAGAGGCACAGAAATTGTTAACTGGAGACAAACGGAGGAGGGTGGCAATGGTCCCCGCTACCACCTTGCTTAGGGCAAACATTAAAAGGAAATATATATATATATAGCTTTCACGGGTCCGTACTTCTCTAGGAGGTTCCTCCGGAGGCTTCTCTTCTTTCTGAAAACAACGTCGAAACCAGAAACGGGTCAAAACATAATCGCCAGAAGAGGGGAGCTGGCTGCCAACCAAACTCGCTCCTGTTTTAAGAGTCCCCATCCCGCTCCACACAGGGGGGCTTTTAGAGCTGCTCCAATATATCCCACTGACAATCCGATTTTCTGAAGGCTGTGGGGCTTGTCTCTTATGAAGAAAGAAGATAGAGGCTCCAAGCCAGCTGCAGGGGACTCCTGACTCCAGAGTCAACCCTCCAGTTGCCTAGGAAATAAGTTACAAGTAATCAGGAACACCTGCGACCCGACAGGTACTGTCAGACTGCAACGCCCATCACTGGAGGGCATCACATTGTTGACTCTTGCCCTACAAAACAATGATGGGCAACTTGATATTCTCTGGATGTTGCTCAGCTGCAATTCTCATCCTTCCTGGGTGCTGGCCGTGCCAGCTGGGGCTAACAAGAGTTTGAGTCTCATATCTGGAAGGCCACTACCCTTTTATTTGAGGAAGACTGTGTTGCCTTGCTGGGTGGATCCACACAGGCCCAGGGACTCGTACTTCTTACTTCCCAACTCTGTGGGCTCCACTAAGGCTGCCTGGGGTCTCCACCCGAGCTGGAAGCAGCAGCAGCAGCAACAACATGCATTCGGACGGGCGGCAGAGGGTGTTTCGGAAGGAACTCGGCTCTGCCCGCGATGCGGCTTTCTACAAAAGCTACTTGCGATGGGGGTCGCTGGATGCTCCGGGCGCTTGTTAAAATTAGTGGAGCAAATGCAAGGGTGGAAGGCAGCAAATGCAAACAGGGGCTGAGATAGGTGGGGAGATGTAAAAAATGACGACGACGACACAGCCTCTACTTACTTTGCTTCGAGAATTTACATTCAAGAGGCACACCCCACAAGCCAGTTCTTGGGCATTTTTGATTCCTGGGCGAAGCATACAGGAGGAAAAATCGAGTGAGTTTTCGTCAGGCTGTCGGAGGAACAGAGGTAGGAATCAGTATATTGTTCATAAGTAGCTATCTTCTGCCTTGTTCTAAGTTATCTTCCATGGTCTCTTCTAGCTTCCAACTTCTTCTAAGCTGCCTTCTACCGTCTAATCCATGAGTAGGCAAACTAAAGCCCACGGGCCAGATCAGGTCCAATTGCCTTCTGGATCCGGCCCACATCACCATGTGGATCGCCAGTGCACGCGTTTCTTTCCCCCTCCCTCACATGGTGGCGATGCCACCTCCTCCCTCCCTCCTCCTGGCTTCTCCCCGCCCTGCCTAGAGGAGGAAGGGAGCTGGGCTTTGTTGGTGCCAGCAGCAGCAGCAGCGCTCAAGCGGCCGCCAATTTAAGCAGCCCCTCTCCGGAGCCCTTTCACGTGCTGCTCATTGTCCACTGCTGCCACCACCGCCAGCCCCTGCCACTCCCAAGACACAGGTAAGCAGCCACCGGGGCTCGTGGGGCTCTTGCATCATTTCCCCCCCAAAATATAGTCCAGCCCCAAACAAGATCTGAGGGACAGTGGACCAGCCCCCTGCTGAAAATGTTTGCTGACCCCTGTTCTAATCTGTTTTCTACCTTCTATCTTCCATGCTAACTTGGTTCACAGAAACACAGTCTACTATTTGTCCATCTAGCCTTGGCTGCATCACCATCACCATCATTATTAAATTTCTGTCTCATGTTTTCAACCAAAGCAGCTCAGCACAGCAAACAATTAAGAAATAAAACAACCATTAAGAAACAAAAGATTATTTACAGCAATCAAAAAGCATTAAGCACATCTAAACAATCCGTATCTCCAACAGCACTCAAGAGTCTGAACACTGGGAGCAGAGCAAAATATGCCTAAGTGGACCCACCACAAGAGACGTGCCACACAAAAGGCCTTACCGTTAAAGCAGCAAGTGACATGAAACTGATCAGGTTGTTCCACACTTTGTCAATGTCCTTCAGTAGTAGCTGGAGCTTCTCGCTACAGACGGCTGTGGCTTTGATGCCCAGCTCTACCCGTTTGGTGACTCTATAAACCTCAACGACCCCTGTTGAGAGATCAAAGGTGAGGGTGGAGGGGTCACAGGAGGCATGCCAACTCTCAGACGGCAGGGGTGAGGAACCAAAATGAATGTGGCCCTCCAGGCTTCTATCTCTGGCCCTCAGAATTCTCCCCAGGCCACACACCCTTGTATGCTTTTATGTAACTTAGTTGCAAACCACTTTGATTTCTGTTGGTGAAATAGATGTCTATAAACATTTTTTTATAAATAAATAAAACAAGAGCAACAGAGTCTCACACAGCGCATCAACGACAGAGAAATCTAGAGGGTAGACGGAGGTGGGGAGAAAAAAACAAATGAGATTTCAGGAAATGAGAAAATATTTTTCTCCTTCTGCTTAAAAAAAAGAGGCACATCCTAAGCAGATCTGTTGGGTGTCTTTGCTCCCTGTTTTAATTCCCCATCTTCACGAGATGCGGTAAAATCCATACCTAATAAGTACTCCATGCCTTGCGCAGAGTGGATCACTTCGGTGCAGACAGAGGAGCTGCTGATTCCATTCAGGGTGTCATTTGCCTTCTTGATGACCTAACACACAAGAGACGTTTGTTTGTTCTGCTGAACTCAGGATGGTGTTCACAGCATCCCCAGGGAGCCTCCAGCCCAGACCTGCTTATCTCCAAAATATCTGCCACATCACGTGCATTCACATTATGCCAGAGAAGAGGAACCTCAGGTTGCATGTGGCCCTGGAGGTCTCGCCGTCTGGCCCTTGGAAACCTCCCCAGACCACCCCCTGCAGCAGCCCTGCTTCCCAACCCAGGTGGTTTTGCCTGGCTGGAGTGCGTCCCTGAACTCTGACAATGCCTCTTGCTTGTCTGGTTGGTGGAGGAAAGAGGGATGTGTGGAATGGGTGTAGAAACTAGCTTACTGTACAAAGGCAAAAATTTGCATTTGTTGCTCCGCCCACTGTTGCCTCTGGCCCCACCCAGAGGTTTGCAGCCCAATCACAAATGTATGTTTTGTTAGACAAGAACAGGGTTAGTACACAGAGAGTCCTTAAACTTCCTAGACAGAACCCTCTCTGTGTGTGGCCACTTCCGTTGCCTCCTCTGGGCAGGAATTCTGTGACAATGGATATAACCCCTTACAGTTCCTTCCACCTCTGAGGAGACTGTTTCCATTCACCTTGCTTCCAAGACAAGCAAATGTGTCTCTGGAGGTTCCAGACACAGGCACCCTATTTTGAGACCACCAATTTTTATTCTGCTGTAATATTAGAAATATTTTTCTGCAAACTACTTTGCTGTATTTTCTGCCTGCATTGAAATGTAAGTAAACCTTTTTGTTTATCTTACTAAAAAACAGGTGGTTCATTCTCTGCAATGGGGGTGAAAAGGAAGGAGGTCAGAAGACCACAAATAAAAAGGGATAAAAAAAGGTATAACTGCTTTATCCCTATGCTTCAGAAAGCAGCAAAACATGTGTGTCTATCCTCTGCTAGAAAGCCTGCTTATTTTTGCATTTCTCCCACACGTGGGATAGGAGGTTTAAATCTTAATCTATAGATTTAATCCTCCATCCATTTTCACACGTAAATTATTCCTCTCCACCCCAGCAGACAGTGGTTTCCCACTGCAGTGAGATGTACAGTCCTACCTTGGAAGTCAAACACCTTGACAGTCGAACATTTTGGCTCCCGAACATCGCAAACCCGGAAGTGATTGTTCTGGTTTGCGAACGTTCTTTGGAACCTGAACACCCGTTGCAGCTTCCGCAGCTTGCCATTGGCTTCAGGGGCTTCCTGCAGCCAATCAGAAGCCATGCCTTGGTTCCCGAACATTTTGGAAGTCGAACGGACTTCTGGAATGGATTCCGTTTGACTTCCAAGGTACCACTGTACTGTCATTCTAATTAAATGATAGTAACTCTTTTCTATCTGTGCATTTATGCATAGGAGCTGGCGCATGCACACAGTATCAAAACCTGTGACCATCCCACATGAGTTATACAAAGGAGAAGGACGTTATTTTGATGTACTTACCTGGAGGGCACTTTCTAAACATCTCTGCCATTCATAGGCATATCTCTCACTTTCCTAGGTGGAAAAGAAGAAGCAGAATTCCACGGGTTTCAAAAATAAGCAAATAAATCAGAACTAGTAATGACTGCCTTATAAGTGATTCCCACCCCCTGCTACACAGAGGTAGCAAAAAGCAAGGAAAGCTCCCAGAAAGATGCAGGTGGTTTTTCATGTGGAGAGTGGGAAGTGGTCCATCAGTGTAATATACCCAAGCCCACACTGGTTGGAGGACATAGAAAGATGGGGAGAGTATCCTTTGGGGAAGGACCATAGCTCAGTGGTACAGCCCTTGCTTTGCATGCAGAAGGTCATAGGTTCAATCCTTGGCATCTCCAGGTAGGGGTGGGAAGGTCCCCTTGCCTGAAACCCTGGAAAGCCGCTGCCAGTCAGTGCAGACAGTATTGATCTAGATGGACCCAATGGTCTGACTCAGCATAAGGCAGTTTCCTATGTTCCTATATTTCTAACCAGGATGGCAGGGATCAAAAGCTCCAAAGCAGCACTATCCAAACACCACCACCAAATAACATTGCAGGGGGCTGGACTAGACAGCCCTCAGGGGGGGTACCTTCCAACTCTAGAATTCTATGATTCTACACATTCAGCAATATCGTGGCATAGTCCTTTCTGGGATTCTACCACTTTGCACAGCAAGAAGGGGAAATCTCAACTCCAATATGCTCCCTCTCTATTAAAACACAACTCCCTTAGTATAAAAAACCCAGGAAGAGGAGAATGCAATTATCTTTTTTTCCCACAAGCAAAACGTTTTGTTTATAATGTCTGAGAACGTACCACACCTGCAATCTCTAGTGGTAACGTCCAGGAGATTCTATTGTGTGATTCCTACACGTATGTTCAGCTGTTAAAAGAGGATAGGCCTCCCGGAATTCCTCTCTGACAAGCCACGCTTCCTCCCATCAAATCTCTCCTTACCTCCACTTCCCCCGTGAGATCTTTGTACTTGTCTCGGATGACGGGCAGGGCTGGCTTCTCACTGAGGGTATTGGACCGATCTCGAAACGGCTGCTCCGGAGGTGGCAAAGGTGAGGAGCGGCTGATCTCTCTGTCGCCCAAACTCAGGCTCCGTTTGTGAGATCCTGGAAAGAAACACGACACATGAAAGTCAGGGTTGTGTGTGTGCCCCAGTTCTGAACAGAGCGTTAAGAATAAGAACCTCAAAAAGAACTTTTTGATAGTAAGAGCTGTTCAACAGTGGAACAGACTCCCAAAAGAGGTGGTGGACTCTCCTTCCTTGGAGGCTTTTAAGCAGAGGTTAACCGGCTATCTGTCATGTATGATGTCAGGGAACTGCCATCGGCTCAGGGGCGAGAAGGGGAAAGGTGGATGGATTACAGAGAGCCTCCAAAGATCATGGGAAGCAGCACTTCCTCAGCAGAGGAAGGAAGCCACGCCTCTAGTGGGGAGGAGCTTCAGGGCTCGGAGGATGCAAGGCGGTGCCAGGACACCTTGCCTGAGCAAAGCGGGGAGGGGGACGGTCCCCCTTTACCCAAGCCTTCCTTGCACAGTAGGCCTCTGCGCAGAGAGGGGAGGCGTAGGCTGGGGGTCAAGAGACTAGTCTGCTGGGGAGGATTTAAGGACCGCCCACTCTCAGATTCTGCTAGTGAATGAGCAAGACATGGAATAGAGGCACTCTGCATTGTAAAGGTTTTTGGCACCGATAATAAAGCTTTAGAAAAGACCAGTGAGGCATCTTGCCTGATTGCTCTCGAGCAACCACCCAATAGCCATAACATATGATTTAGCTGAGATTCCTGCATTACAGAGGGTTGGACTAGATGACCCTTCCAACTTTACAATTTTATTATTCTATGAAGAGGAAGAAGAAAAGACTTTGGCCTCGTTCACACGTAACACTAAGCAACAGTTTGTTCAACTATGTTTTATTAAACCATGGCTTAGCATTATGTGAGAACCCTGCTCAGTGGCTTTACTATGGTTTGTTTACTGCCAAAATATCGTGATCTGAAGCCATGGTTTGCTGCTGTGTTACAAAGTTTGTTTTGTTTTAAATATGGTTTGGTGTTATATGTGAAGCCAGCACCCTTCCTTAACCATGCTTTGTTTGACCGCCCCTCCCCGGATGCTAACCAAGGTACAAAGACATGAGGCAAGAGTGATAGCAGCTAGAACAGTGTTTCCCAACCTTTTTTGGGCAAAGGCACACTTGTTTCATGAAAAAAATCTCGAGGCACACCACCATTACAGCCCCGTGACGTCAGCGCGCAGCGTCACGCCGGGAGGGACATGAATTGCTAGCAAATTACATAATCACCTCCTTGAGGGCTGGCTCATCTTCTCCGAAGGCAGAACCCCATTAATTAACAGCACAGACTCACACCATAGCCAAGACGAGGGGGAAAAACCTCAGTCATGCACAGTCATGCACATGTGGGGGCTAAATGAGGACGAAGACCGGGCAGAGAGCAGGGTTCAAATCACCCCACCTGGCCAGGACAATCCCTGGGTGCTCCCTTGGGCCACTCGCCTGACCCACCTCGCAGGGCTGTTGTTGCGAGGATAACATGGGGAGAACCACGCGCGCCCCCGGGAGCTCCTTGGAGGAGAAAGCGGGCGATGAATGCAATGCACGAAATATATGAGAGGCGACCAGGTTTTGCAGGTGAGGGGCCCCCGCCAGCCTCCGCTTCCAACACCTGGCGCAACGACGCCGAAGTTTCCCCCCGGGCTCGGCTCGGGGAGCAGCGCTGCTCCCCCCCGGCTCCCCTTCGCCCTCCCGGCTCTCTCTGCCGCCCACTGGGGACCCCCTCACCTGCCAAGTCCGGAGCGCCGGTGGAAGTTGCATGCATGCATGCAGGGCGCCGCGTTGCCATTGCATTGCACTGCACTCCATGCAACGCCTGCACGCATGCATTGCCTTGCACGCCCGCCAAGGGGTCTCCCCGCGGTCCGATGCGTCCCCTCCGGCGCGGATGCAGCATTGCAAAAATAAAAAAACCCCGACGCAGCCCTACCTGGGGGGCAGCCTCTGCCTCCGCCGCTCCGCCTCCGCGGGGATCCCTGGGCTCCATCCTGCCGCCCGATCTCCGCGGGGGCGCAGGCAGGCTGCGCGGGGTCTGCGCGGAAGAGCCCCTGCCCGCCCGGCCGCCGCCACTGCGCTCATTCCATGGCCGGGAGAAGAGCGCTTCAAACAAAACGCCCGGCCCGCCAGGCCACGCTGGGAAACGTAGTTCGCGCACCCCGCGCGGGCGCGGAGCCCAAGGGCGAGGGGACTACGGATCCCGGCAGCCCCCGCGCCGGGGACGGAGGGGGAGAGGCCGGGTGCAGGGATGGAGGGATGGAGGGACGGGTGGGCGAGCGAGTGAGTGAGTGGCAGCCGCCAAGCCTTGGCCGAGAGCCAGGAAGGGCCTCCCCGGAGGAGGAGGAGGAGGGAGGCGCAGAGCGGGAGGGAGGGAGGGAACCCCAAGGGTCATCTAGTGACGGCGCCCCAATCGAAAATTTGACTTTAAAAAAAAAATCTTTCAATTTTTTAATTTTTCCCGCGGCACACCAGGCAACATCTCGCGGCACACTAGTGTGCCGCCGCGGAACAGTGGTTGGGAAACACTGAGCTAGAAAATAAACCAAACTTTGGAGAAAGAAGACATGGTTTGTTGGGTCATCTGTGGGACAACTCATGATTGAGTTATGGTTTGTTAAACAAACCATGGCTTTGTGTTCTGTGCAAACCAGGTCAATATGAATGTTGCACAGTGAGGCAGAACTCAGCTCCTTGAAAATCAAAACTTCAATTAAAAATAATAGCAAGTTACTTGCCCTAAAGTGTTAAAGAATTGCTTGATACTATGCAGGCTAGGAAGATCAGAGGCCAAATGTAGTTTGCAAATACTTTCCTAAAAAGCAGCTCTGCTGAATCAGAACAAAGGCTTAAGTAGTTCTGCATCTTGCTTCCCCAGGATGTTCTGTATGCAAAGCAGATGCTCTAGCAGGGAGCGAGGTCCCTTCCCTGGCTGGGGCTGATGGGAGCTGTAGTCCAGAACAACTGGAGGCCAATGTAGCCACTCACCTTGAACAGAGAGGTCGAACGTTGCAAGCTCACTCTTGATCATTTCTTCACTCGATTTCACCTTCCCTTGGGAAGTTGCCAGTAAGAAGTCAAATTTGCTGATTTTGGGCTTCTCGCTCTGAAACTCTCCAAAGTCGTCGGTGCCTTCTTTGGCTGCTTCTACGGACAGGCCAGCTGAGTCAGCCTCTTGGGGCGTGCCTACAGCTGGGCTTCCAGCTGTCTCTGCCAAAGGCCTTGCAAACTCCCCAAAGCCTTCAACATCATCGTCACTCTGGTCCGCAGACTGAGGGTCAGGTTCTTTGAAGTTAGCAAAAGGTGAGAACTTCACGTCCTGGAGAGCATCCTCACTTGCAAAGGTGGTGACTTTGGAAACAGTGGTCAAGGTGATGTTCTCCGAGCTGCCAAACAGAGTCTCTTTCTTCTGGAGGATGGAGGTGGCCAAGGAGGAGCCACTTCCTGGAGGAAAGGGGAAGGGGAGGGACTTCCTGCTTTGGTAGGCGTCGTCTTTGTCAGACCAATCATAGCTTGGGAAGCCACCCAGAGTGGAGCCGTTGCTGAAGCTTCCAAAGGTGGTCCCTTTCAAGTCATCAAGATCTAGAAAGGGAGAGACAGAGAAAAGAGAAGGAGAAGACCCAACCATTAGAGCACTAGTGACCAGTGTTTTCAGCAAACAGTGACACAAATCAAATCCAAAGATGGTGCCATTTTGGAGAACACCAGAGTATCTCAAAAACTGGCAGCTCCCATCTGTACCTACTGACCTCTGAAACCTGTTCTATGATCCTCTGCAGTCATAAGTACAGTGTCTGAGCTCAAAGATCAGGGCTCAAAGATTGTTGTTCTTGTAAATCCACAGCTACAGAACAAGGGAAGCTGGCCCAACTCCATCTTTACTTGTCCTTCAGGCAGGCAGCTAAGACATACCCTTTCTAGGTGGCTTTCCTAACCACTGTGTTTCAACACAGCACTAAGCTCTTCTTATTTTGCTTCGGGAATGAGAGACACTGTGGCCTTCCAGTTGTTGTTGGACTCCAGCGAAGGCTGGTTCATTAAGGCAAATGGGGCATTGCCCCACAGAGCTCAGTCTGCCTTCAGCCAGGCCTCACCTGCCTTCCTTCTTAAATACAGCTGGTTCACGGTGTCGCAGTGCCCATTAGATTCCTCCTCTTTAGCCTCAGTGCCCACCCCTTGTACAACTCAGCAGGGAGGAGGAGCGTGGAGGCAAAACTGGAATTAGTTAGCCCTGTCTCCCACTGGCTCTGGCTTCACCTATTTGGGGCTCCCTGCTGTGTGCCCCACCACTTCCAATGAACACCAGCCCTTCCACAGCATGACCAGTCTGGGTTGATGGGAGCTGGGGGTCCAGCAGCATCTGCAGGACCACAGCTTCCCCATCCTAAGGCAGGAGAGCCTGGGAAGGACGCTTCTCTGTCCCAGGACTTTGGAGGCCCACTGCCCATCAGAGTAGACAAGACTGGGCAGAGGTTTATGGTGGGGATGGGGAACGTGTGATCCCTCCCAGATGTTGCTGGACTCCAAGTCAACCTGGTGAGCAGTCCAGGGATGCTGAGTGCAGCAATATCTTGAAGGCCACATGTTCCTCACCTCTGCTTTACATGTTTGACTTATTACTGAAAAGCCACAACCCAACCCTGCGGATGCCAAAATGCTAGGTGTGGGTTTTCTTTTAAAACAAACTTCCTCTGATACTAGAAGCAGCCTACAGCCCTCAGGACTAGACACCATTGATAGGCTCTTCTCCCCTATAAAGCCATCGCTACCTCTTGGCAGGCTCATGTTGCATTAAAACTTAAGTTTCATTCTGGATTTCTGGCAACGGGGCTGAAACACGAGCAGTACTCACAGGAGCCTCCCTGCCTTAGAAAACTGGAGTGGGTGGTGGGTGGGAATAAAGCTTCTACCCACATACCCTGGAACACATCCCCAAAGACATCAACACTCACCTGGTTAGTGTGCGGCTGAAGCTGGCACAAACTACAGTTCGTTTCTGTAGCGGGACCTACCCTGTGGAATGCTCTGCCAACTGAGGTTCACCAGGCCATCTCTATACTGCAACCTTCCGCAACCTGGATGTTTGGGACTACAGCTCCCACCATTCCTAGGCAGTCGTAGTCCAAAACATCTGGCAGGACCCAGATGCTAAGGCCACTTTACCGTTTCAGGAGGCCAGCAAAAACCTGGTGGCTTTAAATGGGCTGGTCATCGCCCTTGTTGAAAGGATGCCTGATAGTGTGGCAGCACCCTCACTTTGGAGCTCCCCTGCCTAGTGATATCAGGCAGGCCACTTTGCTGTACTCTTTCCCAGTACTCTTGCTGAAAATGTTTCTGTTTAGGCAAGACTACCCAGATATGTAAGGGACACGGGTGGCGCTGTGGGTTAAACCACAGAGCATAGGACTTGCTGATCAGAAGGTCAGCGGTTCGAATCCCTGCAATGGGGTGAGCTCCATTGCTCAGTCCCTGCTCCTGCCAACCTAGCAGTTCGAAAGCACCTCAAAGTGCAAGTAGATAAATAGGTACCACTCCGCCGGGAAGGTAAACGGCGTTTCCGTGCGCTGCTCTGGTTCGCCAGAAGCGGCTTAGTCATGCTGGCCACATGACCCGGAAGCTGTACGCCGGCTCCCTCGGCCAATAAAGCAAGATGAGCGCCGCAACCCCAGAGTCGGTCATGACTGGACCTAATGGTCAGGGGTCCCTTTACCTTTACCCAGATATGTAGAGTGTTGACATATGTTTTAATCTGCTTTTAATCATTGATATTAGCATTCTATGAAGATTTTAAATAATGGTTTTCAACTCTTTTTACTGACAATTCCATTGCTTTATTCTTGTGAACCTCTCTGAAGCTTTCTTACAATGGAGTGGTGCATAAATCTCGTGAAACAAATAACACGGGTGTTGTTAGGCATGGTTTTTTTCTTAAATTCTTAGCCATCTTGGATTCCTTTGGGGTACTAAACCACTTTAAATGAAACGTTAAGCGGCCCTTTTAAAAGCTGCCCCTTTTACCAGCTTTCCCCACAATTCCTTGAGCGCGCCTGGCAAAGCTCATCTCCACTCAGTTCTTTGGTGTGTTGGCCTTGCGGATAATCCAGTCATCGCCCTCAAATCTTCCCCCTCTGGAAACTGCACCAGGCTGCCTTAAGGCCTGATCACAGGTACAGCCACAAAATCTGCATGGAATGCCCTACCTGCCCCCTCGCTAAGTTAATGGTGCTGATCCATCAGAGTCTTTTCTGACCCTAGCCAATGGAGCAAATGCTGTAAGGAAATAAGAGCACACCTGTTGGATCAGATCAGAGGCCCAGCATCCTGCTCTCATAGCAGTCAACCAGATGCCTCAATGGGAAACCACAAAGCAGGACCGGAGCATGGCAGAACTCATCCCACCTGCGATACCTGGCATCTGGATATAAAATGTAGACATCATGGCTAAGGGCCCACGAGGAAGCGAAGGGCTTCCTGTTCTCATTGTGGCCAACTAGATGCTGGCGGGAATTGAGCACAACAGCGACTTGCAGTTCCCTGCAAACTGGCATTCAGGGGCATACTGCCTCCAACAGTGGTGGCAGGACAAAGCCATTGTGACTGGTTGCTTTCAAGTCCCAGCTGGCTGCCTCTAACTACTGCAGGCATATTTAAGAGTCCATGGTTACTTTGCTAACATGGCAAACCTGCTGTTAAAACATGCGGGACAGCTGCAATAACTCCGTTAAAGCGCTGCCGCTTTGGACAAGGATGAAAGCAGGCCAAGATGTATGGGGCAACGCAGACAGGGGAAGAAACCATGAAGCACAACTGCCTGCAAACCTTACATTCTTCAGTGCAGGCTGTTTCGTTTTTGATGTGGATTATGTAACATCTCATCGTTACCCACAGGCTGTGTTCACGTACTAGATGTTCAAAGCACATGGCTTTCCCGGCAAGGATCATGGGAACTGTAGTTCACCTTGCGCAGAGCTACGATTCAACAAACTTCAGTTCCCAGGATTCTTTGGGGGAAGTCACGGGCTTTAGACATGCAGTGTGTACACAGTCGCCGTGTCTACTGCCCGGCATGCACAAGGTCCCAGGTTCAAGCCTCGGCATCTCCAGGTAGGGCTAGGAATGGCCCCTACCGGAAGATCTGGAAAGCTGCTGTGAGTCAGTGTAAACAATACTAAAAGCTAGAGGAGCCAACGGTCAGACTAGGTGTAAGGCAGCCCTTTTTATGTTCCCCCATACCTGGAAAGAAGCCTTCATCTGCAGATTATTACAGTGATACCTCTGGTTACGTACTTAATTCATTCCGGAGGTCCGTTCTTAACCTGAAACTGTTCTTAACCTGAAGCACCACTTTAGCTAATGGGGCCTCCCACTGCTGCCACGCAATTTCTGTTCTCATCCTGAAGCAAAGTTCTTAACCCAAGGTACTATTTCTGGGTTAGCGGAGTCTGAACCTGAAGCGTATGTAACCTGAGGTACCACTGTACTTTCATGGGAACCCCCACCCTAGTTGGCTGGGGGGCAGGGGAAGGATGTTATCTCTAGTAGCGAACACTGGAGCTTCAGAAGAACGGGAGCTGAAGTGGGCCACAGAGAAGTATGATATGGGAGAACTCTGAGGTTTGCAGAAGGAGGACAACATCTTGAAAACAGACCCTAAGGGGGCACAAAAGCCCTCCAAATATATATATATACACCAATGAGGACTAAACATGCTCAGAACCCAAAGAACACAGAGTGCCAGTTGGAAAGGAAGGGAGAAAATGGAGTTGGCACAGGGAGGCAAGTGGGATAGAATGCCTTGCTTCAGCAACCCAATAGTTTTGTGGAGGAAGGCTGGATGGTGCAACTCCTCCTGTTTACAGCGAAAAGGCAAGCAAGAGGTGGCATGGCAGAAATATGCATGGCAGAGAGAAAGTGGACAGAGAAAAGCTTTCCTCCCTCTCTCGTAACATTACGACTTGCGGATATCCAAGGAAGATGACTGTCCGGAGGTTCAGGGCAGATCCAGCAGGGCTTGTGCGTCTAAGAAGGGAGGGAGGACACAGCTATCACCCTTCATGAATTGTCATCCTTGGCCCTATAATGCCCTAGAAACTGTCCCAAGCTCTTGAGCCTGAGCAATGTGTCCCTCAGCCACAAACAGAGCTCTTGTCCATCTTTGCGTACTTGCTTTGACTGGCTGGCTTTTGCCACCACCTCTCCTCACCCTGCCCTGACAGTCACTAAAAAGAGGAGAAACAGCTGCATAACCATTTGTCAAGAGGTTTAATGCTATCGCTTGGGGACCGGTTGAGAACAATGCATGTTTGTCGCACTATGTGTGTTAACTGGCTTCCAATGTCAGGATGTCTGTGTTACCGACAACTCTTCTGTGAATGGCCAGCAAGAATGACATAATAATTGCTATCTCAGAAAACCGATAAATTCACTTCACATATCTCATGAAGTGCAGTCTAGTCCCCAAAAGCTTATGTTGTAATAACTCTGTTGTTCTTGCAGCAACAGACTAATGCAGCTACCCCTCTGGAAGATGTTAAGAGAGAGAGAGAGAGAGACGTTTTAAGTGGAAGGGGATACGATTGCTTTAAACCTTTAAGAGCTTAAATTTTTAAAATTTTTTTTGCTGATGGCAACCAGATGCATTTCTGGACTCTTTAAAAAAGTGGGGAGGGGGAAGAAAAACCACACATGCTCAGACTTTCAAAATATGCCAAGATAAATATTTATTTAACACAGCAGGACTTACAGATCGCAAAAGAGAACGCTATACAGGAGCTCGAAAGGGCAGTCATCAGAATCAAAGCATGCAGGTCAGTCTTTTTGCAGAAGAGAGAGAAATCTAAGCAGATTCGAAAAGGCACATTCACACAAGGAAATGTCGAGTTCAAATAAAGGTATCAGAGGGGGAGGAAAACTGACAGCAAAAAGTGGGGGATCTCTGGCCCAATTTCAATTTATGAAGTTTCCTCTCCCCTACCCCCAATAAGCACCAAGGCGTGGTGGTGGGGGTAGGGAAGAAGGACTATCGGCCTGCAGGTTCAAGAAATTATGCAATCTTCCATTAAATTTGCAGGCGAGGGTATTTGCCCTGGCTGCATTATTCAAAGACAGGGAAGGATTGGGAAAGAAAAAGACCCCAACACCAAACAATTCAAATTGACAAGAGCATTGGAGGGGGGCAAAGGGTTAAAATTTGGCAAGGAAAGCAGCAGCAGTAGCCTGGTTGAAATTAACATGCAGCAAGGGCTTAGAAAGTTCAAAGTTTAGAAGGTTAACCCCCCCCCATTCGAAATCTAGCCACATTTTTCATATTGGCTGCCTTCTGAACAAGGAATCATATAGCAAAGTTTAAAGAGACAGTATCCCCTTGAAAGAATTTGGAAAATAAGTCTCTCTGCTTCACCCCAACCTAGAGAAGTTAAGGCAATTTGGCTGAAAGGGGACAGATTCTAACTCTCCCCCCCACCCCCTCCACAACTGGCCTAACATTCATCCCTTCTTGTCACTATAACTCATCACTGCCTCTAAATTCCTAGGTCCTCCTCTTTGCTGTGCCAAAACTGAAACATTCAGATAAATTCAGTTCTACATACATGCTCACTTTTTTGACAGGAACCTCTCTTGTGGAGGAGCCCCTTCTGGAGACAACACAAAGTTAAGCGCCCAACGGCTGACCAGCCATTTCTCCTAAATCAAGGAATAAATATATAAAAGGGATACTGTCCCTTTCTGACATTTCAGTTTACAGACCAACAGGAATCAAAAGTCTACTTAAAGTATGTAAACTTCAAATAAAGTTATATAGACACTTGAACATTATCAATTCAGAGCTTGAAATGCTTCAGAACATATATACGCACGCATATGGAAACGCCAGAGCACAAAAAAAGTTGATTTAACAAACAAGAATTGAGAGAATGATCTAAGAGACTTCAGACAAGGACCAAATAATAATAATAAAAAGTGTCTGGGCCAGAGCAGATGTAATACTTCCTGCCGTTTTACTATGTTTAAGGGATCACCCTCTGGCCGTACAGCTGAATGCAGCCATTTTGCGTGTATCACTCCTCCCTTATCCCAAGTGAAGATACAAGCCATGCAGCTGCACTTAACCACAGTTTCTTGTTACACACAAACCAGGAAACTCTGGTCAAGGGCTCCCAAACAAGCCCGGATTCCAAAGCTAATTTCAAATCAAGACTCCATGTCCTATGTTGCCTGGAAGCCTTTGGGTGAAACAGCCAAGTCAGACCTGAGAGCAGACCTGCTGAAATGAACAGACATGGTTTTAAATAGCTTTACTCTGGAAATAACCCACACCGGGTGTCACCCATTAACCATAATTTCTCAGTCTGGAAATAAAGGGGAAGCCAGCAGGTTCCCGGCTCATCTCTCCACTTGCATAAAGGAAGGAGCAAAAGGGCTGTGCAGCTCTCATTACAGCTGCAACGGAGTTAACGGTGGGAAATGCTAATCAGGATTGACTCCCAACCGAGATTTGAGATGCTGGCTAGCCGTCAACTCTAAGTGGCAGCAAGGATGGTTAGCTTTGATGCAGCTGTAAGAGTGAACCATAGTTATGAATGGTGTGAACTCAAGTGCCAAAAGGGAGTCTCTGTGATCCATTGCTGAGCCATGACTGAGGTTAGGGCATAGGAAGCATTAGGACTGAACCGGCCCCTTTGAGGAATACATTGGAGTTGGCACTAGAAAGTAAGCTTCCATTGCAGTCTTGGAAAAGACAAAACAAAAACCAAACAAACAAAAACACCCTGTCAGCCTCCTGATTATCAACACTTAAATAGTTTAACACACTTTGCATCAAAGAACATGATCTGCTTAACTCAGCGTTTGGACCCAAGATCCATCTCTCAACACAAATCAAACGGCAAGTGTCTATCACTGAATTGCTACGGACACCAAACTCATCTCTGGGAAACGAGCCACATATAAAGATACTGACACGATAAGATTAGAAAAATAGTAGGAAAAAAGTGCTTTTGGAAAAACCCAAAGTAAAAACTTCCAAGAACACACATTTTGTAGGTGCCAGGGAACTGAGCGACCCAACAGGCCTTATGCCCATGCATTTTAACATACAAAAAATGTTTTCATTCTTCACCAAGAAGAATTATTTCCTGATATTTTGCACCCTGTTAGAGGAATTCTCTGTATCTAAAGCCACCAACAGTCCCTCCCTGCCTTCACCACTTAAAAAATGATTGTAAAATGGTAAATCTCTGCTCTGCCCAATATTGGGGGGGGGGGGAAGGGAATTTTAGTTCATGTGAAAATAAGTGATGCTTGCAGCAATAGCCTTCCTGCCACAAATAATACCAATGCTGAATAATACCTTTTTTTTGTTTTGTTTCGGAATACTGTCATTTCTCTCCTGTTTTTAAAGGCCACAGAAAGCTTAGTTCATTGTTTTCCACTCTTATTTTTACAGGCTTAAAAAAAGCACAAACCAAAAACAGGGCACGTGTGTGACGTTTTAACGAGCTGCAACCAAACTGGATTTCTATGCTTTCACTCTTATTTCATAAAGGAAATCTAAAAAGGAAAGGGAAAAAAGGGAGGAGGATTCCTACAATAAACGGTCAACACAAGATCCCCTTGGCTTTTGGAAAGCTTGCAAACGCATGAGCACCCACCACCAGTTGGCAGCCAAAGTCAGAACCTTGCGAGGTGGACCAGCCAAAAGGGCCTTTCCCATCTATACACCATGGAGCTCAGCGGGAAGAGGCTCACACCATTCGCTTTTGCTAGGTAGTTACAGTCACCTGATGCTTAATGCAGAGTTATGGGACAATTTCTATGGGGAAGTGTCTTCCACCGTACCAGTGGATCCAGATTCGCAACACAAGGTGGCATGCCCCATTTTTACAAAAAGTCAATTATTTGCACAGAGACAAGTAGGCTCCGTAAAGTCACAATGTGGGCATCAAGTATAGATTCTGATGCCGACACACACCACTGGGAACCTCCCCTTGCAGACTAAGGGCAGATCCACACTATGCATTTAAAGCACATTTAAAGGGCATGACTTCCCTGCCCCAAAGAATCCTGGGGACTGTAGTTTCTCCTGACAGACCTACAATTCCTAGTGTCCTTAAACTACATGTTCCAGGATTCTTTGGGGAGGTGATATGCTTTGCATGTGTGTTGGACGTGCTTTAAATGGGTGGCTTGGATCTGCCCTGAAGAAAATGTGTTGTGGCGAAAGCATTCTGACCTTACAAAAGCCACAGAATTCTTTGGACCCAAGTACAGACCTTCGTGTACAAAAACGGAACATAAAGCAGCAATCCCGGCCAAAGAGGCCTCCCCGTTCTGAGCACTGATCAGAGTTCTGCATTAGCCTTTTATTCTTCCCCTGCCAAGGGGTCGCCCATGCCCGGCAACTTGTGCAAATACAACGTGGCAGCTATACTGTTCGAAGATTATGAGGGTGCAAAGGCTGCATGAGGCAGAATTTCAGAACACAGGGGGAGGGGCTGGGAACGGAAATTCACAATACAGACAGAGGGCCTGAAGAAGATGCTAACACTGGTTATGCCTTAAACTGAGAGTAAAATAATAATAATAAAGGTACGACTCCCTCACCTTGCGGCCATAGTTTAGCAGTACCTTACCAATGTTGCTAACCGTGGTTAAGGTTAACCTGCACTTCAGTTTGATCAGGACTTGTAACCACTGCTTCAAGTGGGTATCAAATCCTAGCTGAACTGAAATGCCACATAGCTTGAGCATCAGTGCTAAGGTATCGCTTCAATGTACTTAAGGCAGCAATAGGGAGTTCGCCACCCCAACCCCCTGAAAAAAAAGACTGGGGAAGGATTTGAGGCTAACTCGCCATCTTATAAGAGGGAGCTGGTATTACGTCTGCAGTGGGTCTTGGAGATGCACACCAAACTTCTTGAGAGATGTGCCACATTCACTCTGACACTGCAACCTTACAGATCTTCAGAGATGAATGAGGTCTCCAAGAGCAGACGGGTCTCTTTCCAAAGAGGAGCAACCCTTGGCACAGTGGGATGGGGCAAAGGCTAACTTGCAAAATAGTTAGATAACACCTATGGAGTATTGAGGCAGCCTCTCATTGGCAGCAGTCTTGTCTCAGGCGCCCTCAGAGAGTGGCGCCATGAACACAAGAGGTCCCCCCCTGGAATTGGGGCTGCTAAGAGGGCGTTGGCAATACTACGGGGCACAGGATCCACCTCAAACCATCCAAATCGAAAAATTACGTCGGACGACAACAAAGAAAAATGTGTAATACTGCTTGGTTAAGAGATTAGCAGCTTGCCAAAGAACACAAGTTCAGAGGACTGGCATGTAATACTGAAATTCAGCTTGGGGAGCAAGACTTTTAGACATTTCCATTGCCTTTCGTTACCAGAGCAATCTAACTAGTTCCTCACCTGCGGCTGGCGGATGCTGACCACTAACGGTTGGCAAATCCAAAGAGCTATCAGACATGACATGCTTAAGGTCTCCTCCCACGTCCGCCAGCTTCATGTCAAACTGGACAGAGAGCGCATCTTCAGAGTCTTCCTTGCCCACGCTGCTGCCCCCGATGGACGGGAGGTCCAGAGACTTGACCGAAGCAGAGTCCTCTTTCGCATGCTTGAAAGCTGCCAGTTTGTCAACCAGGGATTTCTCGGAACTGGAGGAAAACTTGTTCGAGTGGAAGTCGGCAAAGTCGTCCTCGCTTTTCACGGACGAAGGGGTGTGGTCTTTCAGTTCTTCAAAGCCTATGCCAGGGCCGTCCAGAGACAGCTGTTTGAAGATGTTGTATTTGGTGGAGGCGGGGGCCGAGCTCTGACCGCTCTTCAGAGTGTTGGCCAAGGAGCCAGCGGGAGGAATGGGGCTGGCCTCTTGCTTGAGTGAAGAGCCGACGCTGTTATTGAAAGCCATGAAGTCTGCAAATTCATCCTGAGTGGCGGCTGAGGTACAATTCGACAACCCCGCAAAGAGATTGAAGTCGGCAAAGTCGTCGGGCAGGATCGAGCTGTTGCCAGGTGCCGGCAGAGTCGCAGGAGCGGCAGAAGCCGGAGGTGGTGGTGCAGGGAAAGACGGCTGCTGGGGCGAGTTGTAGGCGGGCGGAAAGGGAAGAGGTCTGTTCTCGCCGGCAGGGGCCAAGGAAAACAGATCGAGGTCCGCCAGGTTCAGAGAAGGCTTTCCTTGCGGCGGTGGCTTTGACTGTGCAGGTAGAGAAGGGAAAGGCGGAGAGAAAGGTTTGTCTTTCATCGGCGGGTCTAGCGGAGAGATGCTGTCGGCGGTTTTGAAATCCGTGAAGCCGTCATCTGCTCCGGCAGACTTGAACTCTGCAAAGCTGTCTCCTGAAGAGCAAGAGAAAGGAGGAAAACGTCAGTAGGATTCTCGAGAGCGACATATGTGACTCTCTCAGCTGAGCAATAAACGTATTAATTCGCACAAATGCTCAAAATGGCTTACGGGTAATTTGTTTGTTTTGTTCACTTTCCATCTCAGTTCTTCCCAAGGGCTCAAGGCAAATTGTGTGTGTGTGTGTGTGTGTGTGTGTGTGTGTGTGTGTTGGCAGGCAGCAAGCACAAGCCAGTCAAAATCAAGCATTTTAAAGTCCTACAGATTTCAACAGGGGAGATTTAAAATTCTGCTGAAGATGACCATTCAAACCAATGGGACATCTTTGATCAATACATTTTCTTCTTTTCACGTATATTTTCATTCCTGAAGTATTCTGTGATTTCCTGTATTGGGGATAATTTAAGTTATCCTGGGTCTTTCTTTCATATGAACAGAGCTATAGTCTGCATTTAATTCAGGCATTACAGCCTTTCAGTAGGAAGAATTTTTCACAGCTGCTTTTCCTGTTTTTCCCCAAGGCAGACTTATTCCCTAGTTTTGTATAATACACCAAAAGGACCACCCATTTCTGAAAAGGAATTCTCTGTCAAGTGGAAATCCCTTGCACACAGGGGAGCAGAGCGGGATACAATGATAACAAAAAACCCTAGCCTGTCCCAAGATAAATTTTGAGCAAAACTACTGTCTCAAATACCAATGAAGTGATGTATACATGGATAGCCCACATGATGCCCTAAACTACAACCCCCGTCATCCCTGACCATTGGTCATGCTAGCTAGCTGGAGTCTAACAAATATCCGAGGGGGGGGTGTCACAGGTTAGCTACCCCTAATGTAAAGTAATTAGAAGAAATACAGTCCCATGCAGGCCGTGTTCACATGCGATCAACTCCCAGTTTAGAAAGTCAAGGTGTACACACTTTGTGTAGCTGTTTTGCTCCCACTTCATTCTTCCCTTCACATGAATGAACCAACAAACCAGTGAGCCCCAGTTAACTATAGTTTCCTGTTACATTGAGACCAGGAAACCATGGTCAATGGCTTCCAAACCACCATAATTTGAAGCTGTGACTTAAAATTGGTTTCCAAATCCAGGCTTGTTTGGAAGACATGAACCATAGTTTCCTCATTCACATGTAACAGGCAATAATAGTCAACTGCAGCTTCCTGGCTTGTTTCGATCTACATGTGAAGAGCAAAGCAGCTTTGTGCAGGTTCCTGAAGTCTATGCATCTCTCAACTTGTTAAACAGAGATTTTTATCATGGGCATGCGGCCAGTCGGATATGGCTAAATTGTGCTGTGGTCGTCTGGTTATTGAGAAGGGGTTTCCTAGAAGCCTGGGTAATTTGTCTGGGGTGGGGAAGGGAATCAGCTGCTATCACTGTTTCATAGGTGGGCACAAATGCTTTCAACATAACTAAAAAGCTGTGATTACACATGCTTAATTGTATTAGCCCATCAACAGTATTGTAATGAGCCTTGATAAAAGAAGAATACAGCTTGTTGAGATTACAAAACTGTAATTATGTGCTGTAAGAACTGACGCAAATTGCCTTCATTTGCATAATTTATACAAGTCAAAGAACTAGATTTTCTTCGGGGTGGAAATGTACCCCGCCCCCCGGCAGGTAGCGGACCCAAAGCTCTTAAGGCACTAGCTATTCAGAAGCAACAGCCCATCTGGTGTCAAAGTGAGATAAGCTTCAAATTCAATTTAAGCATTTCATTTATTTATTATATAGTGAATCAAATTGATCGATCGATATCAATCAATCAATCAATCAATCAATCACCTGATGCCATTCCCCGAATGTCCCTGATTTCACAAGTTAGGTGGGCAGCTCTTATCGGGGTGGGGGAGAAATCAGATTCAGTTTTCACTTAAAGGCAAATCTACCTCATTTAGACTCTCCGAAACAACACATGACTCAAAATGCAGGTAAGCTTTCAAAATTCGCGCTGCTCTGAATTTTGCAATGTGCTTACCCAGCCAAGTAACACGTGCAAGAGTGGTCGGGTAAAGTGTGTATAAAAATGCTGACCTTGGTGAAAATTAACTTACAAAATGCATCATATATGGGGAGATCGCTTTGCAAAAATGTGTATTTTAGGCAAAGCTGTGTACTAGAATCTGCACTAACATCCCTATGAATCGTCATGAGGACTTAAAGAAAACACACGCAGCACACACAGTGCAAACTCATGCAGAAACGTGGAGAGCTGAACTTAAGATTGCAAAAAACAGAACCTGAGAGAAACAAACATGGATGAACTTGCCTATCCCTAAGTTATCGTCTAGGTGGCTTTTTCTCTGGGGGTGCCTCAATGCATCAATTTCCTCCTCAGGTAACTTCATGGGGCGCCATCATTGCTACCAGTTCCAAGCCCAACACCTTCCTCATGAACTTTAAATGATCAATATCAACCCCTCAAAGCCGTTTTCCCAATAACGGTATTTCTTTTTACCAGCATTGCTTAATTGTTTTTTATTCTGCTTGGAGTTAATTATTTAGAGCCAATGTTTTGTACTGTCTTCGTCAGCGATGTAATGCTATCTCTTGGGGAAATAATAGTAAAAAAGAATAAAAAACCCAGTTTCTCGAAACAGCTTGTCTCCTGTTCCCAAGGTTGAAGGTGGCCAGCCTTCCTTTCTTTAAGCTAATTCCATGTTAACGAATCAGGAAGGCAAGTAGATGGTTCCTTAGTGGGAGATAGTTGTGGGAGATACGTCTTATCTACAAAAAGCTTAAGACATAGTAAATCGGCTTGCCTGAGGTCCTACAGAACTTCTTGCTGGTTTTGCTACAGCAAACTAGCAAGCTCGTCCCTCTGGAAGTTATTAGAAGATGGTTTCTTGATACACAAATATCTCTGAAATGGAGTTTGGGGGAGATGATACCACTCCAGATAAGGACAGCAGGCAGTGGTGTCTATGTATGTTTGCAGTAACCACAGGAGCAGAGGGCTTTTTTGGAGTGGAGAGGGGCTTCAACAAGGAGAAACGGAGCCAAGTTATAGGCTGGAAGCTCCTTTGGCTTATCTGATGTGGACCAGAGGGGTCTGCTGCTTGCTAGGTGTGTAGCTGCCAATTCCACAACTTGTATGCTAACAGGAGGCTGAGCATCCAATCCTGGCACCCAAAGAAATGTGTGTGTGTCTGAATGGACATGTTCAAAGTCAGAAAGGCTGAACCTGTGCGAACAAGAACTGAGCAAGAAGAGGAAACAGTCTCTTGTGCAGTCTGGATTCTTGTAGGGGTATTTTCTGAAGCCTTTTTCACATACGCTCTTGGTCATGTTTGGGCACAACAGACGGCCTGGAAGATGATGCTGGAAATCCCTGCCCTACTTCAACTTTCTCCAGTTATCACCTGTGTACATGTTGTTACCTTAGAACAGGATGCTTAGGAATGAGGGAAGCTGCCTTATACCGGGTCAGACCACAGCCACCTCTATCTCAGCACTGCTTACATGGCAGTGGTTCTCCTGGGTTCCAGGCAGAGGATATTCCCAGCTATATTTGGAAATGCCAGGAACTGAATCTGGGACCTTCTGCATGCAGGGCAGGGGCTCTAGACACTGAGCTACAGCCCCTCTCTTAAGACACTAGAGCTCCCTTACACAGAGCTAGACCACACAGTTGGCCCCATTGAATTCACTTAATTTTGATTAACCCATTCACCAGCAAGACATATTTACACAGAAGCTGCTGTTAAAATATGTCTACATTACGTGAAAGGTAATGCAATGCAAAACTTCTATCTATATCTACTCACACAGAGAGAGAGAGGTTTTGCTTTACGATATTTCAAATCACCGTCACCATGAAAACAGAAAACCCAGTTAAGTCAGTTTCACAAATGCTGCCATAAGTCAACAGAAAGAGCAAATCAACGCTTCAGGCCAGTTTAAGCTGTGGCAAAAGTTGGCAAGATGGGGTAGCAACAGTCACCTGACTTCCAGTTGCCTGTGATGCTGCTGCATACAGGGATGGAGAGGAGGAGCAAGGGAGTGGTGAGGTTGATACAGTGCAAACAGTCCAGCAGAGCCAATCCAGAACTCCAACTGGTACATTGGCTCCGCACCAACCTTGCACCTCCCAGGATGCAACAGTGATGTGGGTGTTTGGAGGTGAGCAATGCTGCTCCACCACCCGCTACTGAGGGAAAAGGTACTGAGGTCACATCAAACAGAATTCCTGTTACGTGGACCTGGTTCAAACTCCAGCTTTCCCAGACGGGGAGAAAAGCACCTTTGTGAAACTGACGTCAACCCAAACCGAGGCAAGGTACAGCAAAACTCAACTTACTGGTGGGCTGCAAGCTTTTCCGTTAGAAATGTAAGCTGGTGAAAGGGTTAAAAGTGACAAGAGGGCAATTCAAAACCAACTTCTCTTTCTCTGAAATACTGGACGGGCTCAGACGTTTTTCAGGCCAAGCCAACCCCTTGCTTGGTGCAACACTCCAACCTGATTTAAGGGTGCTGGAGATCTCAAAAAGCTTGCCACGATTTTGTGACTTTTTTGTTGCTGACCTTAATAAAGGCATTTTTGCAACTGTTGACTTTTAGAGTGATATGCCAGGCAGCTTCACAGATAAAATATTCTGTACTTCCTTCAGGGAGAGGCTCCCTAGGAAGTCTCCGGTCTCGGTGCTGACAAGGCTGAAGTCCTGCTTAGCTTTAAAACTGTTAATGGCATTCCAAGTCTCCAAAGCAGTTGCTTCCAATTTTCACTGGTTACACTGAGACGATGGAAAGCTTGCGCTACAGTCCAGTTATTGAGAAACTGAGACTCGTAATGCGTTTCCCCTGGCCTCAGATTATTGAAATGCACACAGCATCTGATGAAGCAGCCTGTAGCCCACTGAGTTAATTAGCCATAGCATATTTGCCAGTCTTTTGAAAAAGGTGCTTTTAAAAAAAGGACTCTAGTCCATTTTGATCCAGGAAACTGCATCTTTCCCAGAAAATGTAACTACGCCGCCCTTGGGGACCTTATGGAAATGAGCTTTCCTGGAAACAGCTATGAGAAAGCTGTACTTTTCTGCAGTTATATAAAATGGCAATAAACTGAGAAGGAAGAAGGCTCATTGCAGCATTTTCCCACAGCCTGGAAGAGCGGAGAAAGAAATGCCTAGCTTTGAAAAGCAGCTGCATATTAACAGGCATTTAAGCCAGAACTTACACTCGCTTCCTAACAGCTGGGATTGATGGAGGTTGCAGTCCAACAACTGAGGCAGCACGAAGGTTGTTTCAATTATTTAAAGTAGGGTGGCCCCCAATCTCTGAGTCCACTGACCCCCTTGATGAGCTTGCCACTGACCCCAACCCAACTTCTTAGGAATGTAAATGAGACAAAGTCAAGGAATATTAAAGGCAGCTTCCTTTTATGCCTTTGCATCCTTGTGGGGGAGTGAAAGAGGGGTGGTTAGAATTGAGACACTGTAAAAAAAAAAGTTTAAAAAGTGAAACTCTGCACCTCTAGGTCCCATTGACCGTGTGTGTCTGTATGTGTGTGTGTGTGTGTGTGTGTGAGAGAGAGAGAGAGAGAGAGTGAGAGAGAGAGAGAGAGAGAGAGAGAGAGAGAGATGGGGGGGGGAAGAGAGGGAGTGAATATTCACCACTTTGGGAAACCCTGGTTTAAATAAATGTCTACACACACAGTATTAATGCCCTGAGACTGGTGTTGGTAGGATTTTTGCCAAACCTACAGAGTCCCTTAAAACAACCTGAAGAAGAAGCACAGAGTCAACAAGGCAAAGATATCAAGGTTTGCAAATCTGGCACACTTACCTAAGGGCTTACTCTCAGGCTGCTGCTCCAGCACTCGGAAAGCACTGTACTTGTCTCCATAATCTATTGTGGGTATAATTAATTTTTTTTTTAAAAAAAGGAAAATTCAGTCACAATATAGTTAAATTAAGGCTGGAATAAAAGACACACACACATCATCATCATCACAAGTTAAAAATTGGCACATTACGTAAAGTGACTGTGCGTGACTGTCTTTAGATCAGCCGCTAAAGAAAGAATTCTTTCTGAGATGTGTTCTTGGGCACTTCTTGAGAAAAATCAGTTGCTTTCTCCTTTACTTTTCCTGGCGATCAACATGCCTCTCCCTCCCCCCTTTGTTTCCCAATCCTACCTTGCAGCCTAGGCATTTTGTAGTAGCAGTTGGAAGCAGGAATTATGCTGCTCAGGAATCTCAACGGAAGGGTCATATTTCAGTGGCAGAGAATCTGCTTTGCATGCAAAAGCTCTTCTGTTCCATGCTCAGCCTCTCCAGGTAAGGCTGGGAAAGACCCAGGTCAGAAACTCTGGAGAGCTGCTGCCAGCCAGGGCAGACAATACTGAACCAGACGGGCCAATATTCTGACTCAATGTAAGGCTGCTCCCTAAGTAATTGAGTCCCACTGTGCTCAGTTGCGGCTTATTCCCAGTTATTCCATCCTCTCTCCAAAGGGCTGTCTGCTCTAGTTTAAAGAACTCTAAAGAGGAAGAGCAGGAGGGGCCTTGAAGTTGCCCATCAACAGTTAGTGCCCGGATAAGACTCAGCAGGCACAGAGTCTAAGTTCTTCATCACATCGCTAAGGGATATGGCGTTTTTATTTCAATTTTAGTCACCATGTCTACATTTGCATCTGTGTATAGCAATCAGCAAGTGCAGGTTTTGTGCAAACCGGTGTCCCCCGTACAACAATCAATATTCCTTGCACATAGAAATCAAGGATTGCAAGGGCAAGGGCTTTAGCTTAGTGTTTATTACAATTATAGCCTACGTTTCCTCCAAGGAGCTTAAGGTGGTGTACAAAGCTCCTCCCCCCCCCATTTCATCCTCACAACAACCCTGTGAGGTAGACTAGGCTGAGAGGCCCAAAGGTCACCCAGTGGGAATCTGAACCCTCGTCTGCTGGGTCCTAGACCAGCACTTTGACCACGACATCACACTGGATGCAGATTTACACCAAGGTTATCTGTATATCCCACCTCTCCTCTAAGGAGCTCAAGGTGGCCTACATGGATCTCGCTCTCTCCATATTAGCCTCACACACGACAGCTTCACGCTTGGATCTGGTGCATGAGGAGGGAAAGGTAAACCTGTTAAATGGGGATAGGCAGGGCTGGCCCACCCATGAGGTCAGGGAAGGTGGCTGCCTCAAGCGCAGCAGACCCCAATGTCGCTCTTTCTTCCCCCCTTGTTCCTGATGTACGTCTCCATTCACCACTCCTTCCCTGGTGGGGACCGGGGCAAGGGGCTACATTTTTTTGTTCGCCTCGGGTACCAAAATGTCTTGGGCCGCCCATGGGGAAAGGAGAAGTGTTCTCAGCACCACCACAACCCTTCCTAGACGAGTGATCAACCCATTAAAGGTCATAACAAAGAGGAGTGCACCGATACTTTATTAGACAGCTGCTTTTTTTACCTCCAAGTGAAGCTGTGCTTTCTGTAGCCTTGTCGGTGGCAATCCCTTTGAAAACGGCGTACTTATCCACAGCGGGCGGCACCTTCGCGCCGGAGAGCGGGATCAGCATCGGAGGGGCGCTGCATAAAAAAGCAAGGGAAGGGCAAAATGTGAGGAGAGGTCTGGGCACAAAGGGCCTTGCTCCCTCAGAGACCGGCTCAGTTGTCAGAGAAGACGTTCTCAAGCTTTGCATTAGGGTGGAAATGGAGTCAAAGGAGGGGCTGGGAGTGATCTTGATGCAAGAACAGCTTCTGGTGGCCTGAGAGGGCACTTCTACTTGCGGCAGAGCACAGGGTAGGACTTCTACAGCAATGGGGGAGAAACCTCAGACTCTCCAGGTCTCTCTATCTGGCTCTCAGAACTCTCCCAGGCCTGAACTCTCCCAGGCTTCACATTTGAACCGAGATAATGCCTCTTACCAGTCTGGAGGGAGGATAGACGGGGGCGGGAGATGTCAACTAGTCTACTGTAATATTTACATCCTTTGCCCCTCCCACTTTTGCCTCTGGCCCCGCCTACCACTGGCATGTGACCTCCCAGGAAGCTGGTCCAGAAGGCAATGTGGCCTTTGGGCTGGAAAAGGTTCCCTACCCCCATTCAAGGGTGAAGAAAACCACACACACACACACACACACACACACACACACACACACACACACATATATAAGCAATGCTGAAATTTATGCTGCAATATTTCCTTACAATATTTTTAGGGTAAGAGAGGGAAGGAAAAAAATCAGTAACAAGCTGCATGATGTTCCCCCACCCCTTTACCACCTACATAGATTTTGCTCTGAATTGACAGTCCCTACCTTAAGCCAAAAATCATCCATTTGAGTTTAAAAGGGAGGGCAGAGCAATTAGACGGGCGCAAAAAAAAATCCAGGCAAAAAGGAAGAGGATGGAGATTTCTGGCCCACCCTTCTTGCATCCTTTTCTCACACACCTGTTCCCTCTGTCATCCATTCCCCCCCCCCCCCTTCTCATTTTGGACAAATCCACCATTTCCTGTCTTATCTTTATTTATTTGAACAATTTATATACAGCTTAATGACAACCGTCTCTAAGTGGTGTACAAGAACCCACAACACAGATAGATAAAAATCAATCAAAACTATAAAATCTGACTTTAATTAAAATGCCTGCTGGAATAAAAAAAAATCTCTTTTGTAGGCACTGTAAGTTCAACAGGGAGGGTGGAAGACGATGTACAAAATTCAACAGAAACAGCTAAAAAGCAGTTAAATACACACTGATCTAGTTGATTAAGCATCCAAACACTGCAGCTCCCATGCAAATCTATGTTTTGTTGTGGTGGGAAAAAGCAAAGCCGCCCCGGATTAGCTTCACTGCACGACTCACATATTTTATCTCCCTGCTGACAGCTTGGAACAGCATCCTCGACATTAAAACAACTCATGCTTTTGTTTAGCCTCAAATCCACGCCACCAAATCGAAAATATGGATTTCTGTGGGATTCACAGATATAGGGGTTTTGTTTTGTTTTTGGAAAAAATGGACTGGGAGCAAGACTCTTTCAAATAAATCTCCTTATCAGTGGCCTACAAGCTGAGCGGTTCACAGATGCATGCTAATGGGGGCCCATGAAGCCTGCAGAAGGGGGAAGAGAGAGGGACTACACAAATAAAGAGAGCAAGAGGCAACATTTATGGAAATCTTATGCAAGTTCACACCGGGCATCTAGCAGGATGCTGTATGGCAAGTCTATCACCAGCTGTCTGTAGAGCTGGAGACTTCCCCACCCCTCCACCCTCCAAAAATAAGTCTTTCAAACAATTAGACCAGCATATTAGACTGCAAACGATTACGCCACTCCAGAGGGGAGGTGCAGTCTCACGGGACAGAGACGCAGGTGAGGCTTTTCCAGGAAAAACAACCTCTCCCTTCCACAGCTACATATCTGCTGACTCACACCCCAATTAGACCGTCACGGGAGGACATTTCCTGTGCCAAAGACGAATGGCTGCAATGCATTCTGCATATTTATATGTATTGGCTTCTAAGTGTAAGAGGAAAGGTAACATGCAATAAAAAAGGCAGCTAGAATGGCTAAGTCGTAATTGCCGTGTTTATGGTATATGTCATTATACTGTGTTAAACGTAATTACTGTTACTTATTGCAGTAAGACCAGCAATTCATTTCAATGCAAGATACAGTGAAGAAAACGGGGAGCTGTCTTATATCAAGTCCGACCATGGCTCCACCTACACTGACAGGCAGCTGCTCTCCAGGTTTGTCTCCCAGTCCTAATTGGAGATGCTAGAGATTGACCCTGGGACACTTGGCAGTGCAAAATAGATGCTCCACTACTGAGCCACAGACCTTCCCTGGTGGGGGGCAAAGCAAGATTCCAGTCATCACGGTTCTGAATTATACCTGCTCTCCAAGGTTTCAAATGGGTTTTCCCCCCTGGCCTTACCTGGAGATGCTCGGGATTGAACCTGGGACGTTTTGCCTCCCAAAGCACATGATCACTGAGCTATAATCGTTCCCCATTTACAACAGAACTAAACAGTGGCTCTCCTACAAAGCTTGGGCATGACTGGCCTAAAACGTAACTGGATCCGATTTAGAATGAGGCATGGACATAGTCCTGTTTCTATGCCTCCTAAGTGGGAAGATGTGAAAAGCTATTTTTGTTTGTTTTTGACACACAAGTATATACACACTTGCCAGCAAAAACCCCTACAGTAAAAGTACGTTTTAAAAATCCTCTACCTGCTCTGCTGCTGTGCAGCACACGCCTTGCTTGATCCAGATACTTCTCCCTGGAAATCTGTAAAGGTGTCATCAAGCCCCCCAGACTTAGAAGCGTCCTGGAAATCTTGGAAGTCGTCGTCATCCTGTTTGGCTGCCTAGATTAATATGAAATCATAAAGTCCCCTTTCAGGGTGAGAGCAATCTTATACCTAGCTGCTTTGAATTCTTTAAAACTAACACTACTATGCTATCTACGTATTTTGTTATTTATTGGCTACTCCTAAAGTTCCCAGGAGGCTTCCAATAGCAGAGATGCACACTTTTCCTTCTCTCCCATTAAAACCAGAAGCATGCTTTGTTCCTACACCCCAGAAGATTTGCTTTCATAGTGCACAGGAAAAAGAAGCGTTCCGGGAGATGATGGCGCCAGGTCAGGTCTCCACTGAGTCTCTGCTGTGTGAGTAGGAACTCTAATTATCAAATTACTCTGATAAAAAGGCTCAACCTATGAAAATAACTGCCAAATTTTATCAGTAAAAGACTCTGGGAGCTGTCGGGTGGACTTTCAAATCTCCCCTCCCTTTTGAAGCTACTTAAATCAACTTTGAACTCCCCCCTTGCAAAGCCCTTAAAACTGTGGGCTGGATAAAGTAGCCCTATTTATTTCTGAGTCCGAGCATGGTACAGTGGTACCTCGGGCTACATACGCTTCAGGTTACATACGCTTCAGGTTACAGACGCCACTAACCCAGAAATATTACCTCAGGTTAAGAACTTTGCTTCAGTATGAGAACAGAAATTGTGCTCTGGCGGCGCAGCAGCAGCAGGAGGCCCCATTAGCTAAAGTGGTGCTTCAGGTTAAGAACAGTTTCAGGTTAAGAACAGACCTCCAGAACGAATTAAGTACTTAACCAGAGGTACCACTGTACTTACAAGACAATGTTGCAAAGAACTGGGGATTTCACCCACAGAACCTGTAACAACTGCCCCAAAGAATAAACAGGCCAAAATTTCAACATACGTACTTTCAACCCAAGGCTAATGAAGCAAATAATCCAGGAAACCTCCAGGCTCATGAGTGGTCTGTTGGCCACACCTGGATTGGAAGGAGAAAGAAGCGTTCGGCTCCCAGAGGAGGGTGTTTGTAGAGCTTCCGCATAAGTCACTGTTCAAAGCACAGCTCTTTCCCATGTCAGTGACTCGTGCAGAGAGTCCTTCCAAGGAGTACAGAATCGTAGAGTTGGAAGGGACCATAAGAGTCATCTAGGGCTTCTAGCCAACCCCCTGCAATGCAGGATATCTTTTGCCCAACGTGGGGCTCGAACCCACAGCCTTGAGATTAAGAGTCTCACGCTCTACTGACTGAGCTATCCCAGCTAGCAGTAATTCTGCTGCATGTCTGCATCAAGAGTGACTGGGTGATCCTATCGCACTGCATACAGATGCACAGCAGAGGCAAACTGTAGTTAAACATAGCTGCATAAAACCCATTGAAATGAATGGACATTGTTAATTCGTTTATTGAAAAGCATTTATAAACTGCTTACTTTAAAAAAAAAATCTAAGTTTTAAAAAACAAACAACATATTGTTAGAACATTGAACAAAAATAAAACAGCAGTATTTAAAAACAACCACCACAGGGCTGTATCCGACTAAGTTTCACTCAGAACAGACCCCTTGAAATGAAAGGATCTAAGTCGATAGTACAGTGGTACCTCAATTCTTGAACGTCTCCATTGATGAACATTTCAGAACCCGAACGCCAAAAACCCAGAAGCAAATGCTTCCATTTTCGAACGCACCTCGGAAGTCAAATGGCTTCCGCTGTGTGTTTTTTCAATTTTCTCAATTGAATTTGCAGACAGCCCTTTGTGCCTCGGTTTTCGAACGTTTTGGAACTCAAACGGTCGTTCGGAATGGATTACGTTTGAGAACCGAGCTACCGTTGTACCCTTTAACTTCAATGTGTCTACTCTGAGTCAGACCAACACTGACTACAACCCAATAAAATTTAAAAGAAAAGAGGCACTGAAACACAATGAAAGCCATCTAAAAACCCCGTAATTTATATGGGTTCTAAGCTGCCTTGCATACAGTCATGCGGAGAAACGGCATGCAGGTTAAAAATGAAGCACAAATACTTCAAAACTGAAAGCAAACAAACAGGATGTGAGAACGGCAAATGAGCATTAAAAGAAAGAGACATGTTCACGCTCTGTTGCTTAAATATTGGCTGGAAAGGACAAGTTCTTGCTTAAACCCACTTCAAGAAGGATTCCCGCTTATTGCATGGCATATGCGGCACTGACCTGGCTTGGGGGTAAGACGGCATGAACCCGCTGGGTGCCGGCGCTGAAGGTCCCGCCACTGGTGCAGCCATGTTGATCCCCACCACGGTGGGCGCCATACTAAGAGGCATGGAGACGGGAGGCCCCGGCGGCATCATCGGCTGCTGGCTCACCGTGACAGGGATTGCCATCGGGAGCCCACTCAGTGTAGGGAGCGGGGCAGAGGGGAACTGGTTCAAACCGTCGGGGCTCATAGCCGGAAGGCCCCTCTGTAAGCGAAAAGAGGGGGCAGGGGGGAGCATTAATAGACAGCAGCACTGTTTGTATAAGGCGCTACAGTGGTACCTCGGGTTACATACGCTTCAGGTTACAGACGCTTCAGGTTACAGACTCCACTAACCCAGAAATAGTGCTTCAGGTTAAGAACTTTGCTTCAGGGTAAGAACAGAAATCGTGCTCCGGGGGCGCAGCGGCAGCAGGAGGCCCCATTAGCTAAAGTGGTGCTTCAGGTTAAGAACAGTTTCAGGTTAAGAACAGACCTCCGGAACGAATTAAGTTCTTAACCCGAGGTACCACTGTATTAGAATGGGAAGCAAAAGATGAACAAGTAGTATCTTCAATAACACACTGAGCAATGGATATTGGTCACAATATTGAAATGTCGGCATGGGAGCGGTTGTGGAACACAGAATTAAAGTTTACATCAAGTTATGGTGTGAGGCGGAAATTTGTGGAAATGATTTATAGCAAAACTAGCCAGAATGTATAAATCGGAATCAAGCATTTGTTAGAAATAAGGGAGGTATTTTTTCCCATGTGTGGTGAAAGCCTACTGAGAGATGATATGTAATGAATTGAAAAAAATGTTTGCAATAATCTCAATTAAGAAACCAGAGGCTTGGGGGAGGGGGAATTATGGGATTGGAGTTACCTAGACAATATAAAAAATTATTTATGTATGTGACCACTGCTGCTCAAATGATTTTTCCAACTCTACTGAATTGATACAGGACTTGGTGTAATTTTCCACCAATGCCTGGGGGTGCAGCAAGCCATTTGGAGACTGGCACATCACTGTAGCAAAGGGGGTGCAGAATCTGGCCAGTTTCTTGGATGCAGGAGCGCTACAAGCTCTGGACCACAGCACATCCTTTCCCGCTGTTCTAATAAGAGGTGCACAGAACCCACTCAAAAGATGTGAGCTGACCTTCCCCCAGCTTTGCCTCCCACTGTTTAGTCGCTCCTACCTGAGTTACGGCTATCATCGCCAGAACGGTATACAGCTCTTCTTTCGTAAGCTTCCCAGGAGTGGTGCGGTTGGCCAAGGCCCATATTTGCCCAAGTGTCTCCCTCGGAAGTCCAGATGACATCAGGATGGGATAAAGTTTGCCAGTGTCTATTCCAGTGGGCGTCATAGTGGTTTCTAGAATTTTCTTGTACAGATCTGCAAAGAAAAAAGCCATCATTGGACTTCGCATAATCAGGAGTTGCCAACACATAAGAACCCAAATTAGAGACAAGATGAACTTGGACATGGACACCAGCAAATGCCAACCCTCCAGCTCCACTGTGGAGCTGGAAAACAACCAGAGCATGTACAGAATTCTACATGGAATTATAACAATAATAATAATAATTGTACCCCACCCATCTGGCTAGGTCTCCCCAGCCACTCTGGGTGGCTTCCAACAAAGATTAAAAATACATTAAAATGTCACACATTAAAAACTTCCCTAAACAGGGCTGCCTTCAGATGTCTTTTAAATGTCAGGTATTTGTTTATCTCTTTGACATCTGAAGGGAGGGCGTTCCACAGGGCAGGTGCCACTACCAAGAAGGCCCTCTCCCTGGTTCCCTGTAGCTTTGCTTCTCGCAGTGAGGGAACCACCAGAAGGCCCTCGGCGCTGGACCTCAGTGTCCGGGCAGAACAATTCTGTAATGTGTGGTTTCGTGTGGCCTAGCAGTTAGAGTGTCAGGCTGAAACCTGGGTTCAAACCTCTACTCAGCCACAAAAGCCCACCGTGACCCCTTGGACCAGCCTTAGCTACTTCACAGGGTTGTTGTGAGAATAAAATGGCAGGGTGGGGAGCGGGAGAGAACAGACCCCTGAATGAAGCTTATAGACCCTGTTTGGTATCCCGCTTTATCACTACCCCACAACAAGCACTCTGTGAGGTGAGTGGGGCTGAGAGACTTCAGAGAAGTGTGACCAGCCCAAGGTCACCCAGCAGCTGCATGTGGAGGAGCAGGGAAGCGAACCCAATTCACCAGATTACAAGTCTACCACTCTTAACCACTACACCACACTGGCTCTTTTAAATGTATTAGCTATGTTCCTACTTTAAATGGTAGTGTTTTAACATTTTAATGCTCCCAGACTCCTTTGGGAGAAGGGTGGTATAAAAATTCAATAAATAAAATAAAAGTGAGACGCCCTTAGCAAGCCCAGTTTAAAATCTAGTGTTGCCTACTAAGCACTTAGCAGAGTGTCTATATACCAGTCCCCTCACCTGCAGAAAGGGCAAATCATCTTAAGAAATAAGCTGGTTTAATTACAAGGCATCCAGAATGGGAGGTGAGCTTGCATGACCTTTTCTAATACCTTCAAAGGCTATTCCTGCTCAGTTTCATCATTGCCATTAATATTACCTGGAACTAAATTATCATTGTAAATCCAGGGAGGCATCAGTTGCTGGATTGGATCCTGGGAAGGGAAGACTCCGACACCTAAAAGGCACACACACACGAAAGGAAAACTATATTTAGGAAATATCTGCAGCGAAATGACTCATCTGGAACACTTCCGTCATCTTATTTCAAAGGAGGAATCTCCTCTCTTGCAAGCAGTCCGGAATAAAATGGCACGCTCAAAGAAATGAGGGAAGAGACTCTCCTTCTGTGCACAAATCAAGCTTTAAACACTCTGTATATGCAACAGAGCCTCTCTACACAGAGCTCTTGGGAAGCATTTCTAGGACTGCTGGAAATTTAAAAAATAAATGCAATTCAGCTGAGCCCTGGCGGGACCAAGGACCAGCTGAGCGCTGGCAAGGAGACGAGCCTTCTGAACCGAGGCCAATGACAGGCAGAGACAGAGCCAATGGCAGGTGAAGTCACCTGCTGACTTGTTGTAAGTAAGAAGGGAGGAAGACGGGGGCTGCCTGAGGTTGGTGGGGCAGAGTCCCATTTGCCCTTTTGGATAAGCCTCCATGGCAACTAGGCGGGGCTTTTCCATTTCTACAAATCGCCATAGTAAGAGCAATAGCTTTCCTTAGCCATACTGAGATTTCTCCTGAAGAGGAGTGTGTGTGTGTGGGGGGGGTAATGTTCTGACCAGAGAAGTCTAAACACACACCCGGCCCTCAGAGCCTCCACTCCTGCAGCTGCAGAGTGCCAACTTCTGCAAATGCCTCTCCTTGGGAATCAAATGGAACTGAAGAGGCTGCTTGAGTGATGCTGGCAGCAAGCACTTGTACGGCCATCATTGTGGTGGTGGTGGAATCTAGCATCTGCAAAGAGCGATGGCCATAGAGTCCATCTCAAGTTCATTCCACACCACTGCCACTTCGTTTTACGCCTGTTCTTTAAGCGGGCAAAACCCTTAATTTGCAGAGGTTAAGTGTTAAGTGCTATCACTGCTGTTAGGAGAGAGGCCACCTGAACAGCAATCTAGGCAGTGCGCAGAGAACTAAACAGGAAGCGGAAATACTGGGACAGTTAATAATGGGTTCTATTGCTCAAATTACGTTTGTGTGAATTATTATAGGCAGAGTCCGTCTAGCTCAGTATTGTCTGCACTGACTGGCAGCGGTTCCCCAGGGTTTCAGAAGGGGGTCTTTCTACTTGGAGCTGCTGGGGGTTGAACCAGGGACATTCTGCACATGCTGCAGCACTGAGATACATCTTTCCCCTTAATATTCCACTCCTCCTGGTGCTGCATTTAGTAGGAAGACAGCGAGCTGCCTTATACCAAGTCATATTGTTGGTCTGCTTAGCCCTGTGTTGTCTACACTGACTGGCAGCTGCTCTCCAGGGTTTCAGTCAGTGGGCATTCCCAGTCCTATCTGGAGATGCCAGGGACTGAACCTGGAACCTTCTGCATGCAAAAGCAGAAGCTCCACAACTGACCTATGTTCCTTCTCCTATCACCTGCCCTTAAGTCCACACCATCCATCAACTTCATTCATGGTATTGGGGTGCGTTTGTTGCTGTTTGAGGAGATGAGGTGTTTATTCCCCCCCTCACTCCACAAGGTAAATGACAGCTAAAGACAAGAATCAGAAGAAGGCATGCATGATTGGAAGAACTTTTTTTCTGCAGGATCAAATCTTATTCAAAGAAGCTTGTTAGGTTTTGACCCTTACAGGTTACAAAGTTTGAAAAACAGAAGCAGAACTTGCGGACGTCACATGTTAAGTCAGGAGAATCGGCGCTTCGCTGTTATTATTCAAGCAGGGGTTCAGAGCAAAATCACCCGGCATTCATGTTAAAGAGGTTAGCATGTTCAAGCAGCACTGGAGCGTAAGCTCTGCAAGAAACAGATATGCTCACCACGCTCTTGGGCTGACAGGTTTTGTTCTGAAGCCTTGTTTGCCTTTGAACTGGGGCTGCCGCTCGGGAGCGCCCCTACAGGCTGCCAGTTACTGGCCCCTAACCTGGGATCAGGGCCGTTTGCAGCTGCAGCTGCGGCACTGAGCTCAGCATCAGGAGTTTTAAGTTGGGTTTGTGCCTGCCCAAATTCACTCAACCCACAGGGTGGCAGGGGCTTCTCTTCCAAGGGAGGGCCTGGACAGATAAAAGGAGGAATTGTTGGCACTTGGTTAAATCTCAAGTTTGGAACTCCACCCCAATCCACACACAAACACACCCGCCGCCACACACAAAAGGAGCTGTCGAGGTGCGGAAACAAGAATGAATGAGCAGCCCCACATATACCCAAGGCTGGTGCAGGTGTCATGTCTTCCTACATGTCATTTTATTCCTTTCCAACCAGCTCTCAACATTCCATGGCTACTGAGCATGTTCAGGCCTCATTCAGTTTCTTGGGAGGGGGAGTTGCCCCTAAGGTGTATTCAACCCACTCCCTCCCCCCAAAAACTAGAGGTTCTCCTGAACATGCTGATACCTCCCTCTTCTTTCCAATAGCTCCATTTTAGCTTCGTATCTGTCGGCACTCACCACATGAGTTTGACACTAGAGGGAGTGATTATTTTTTTAGACGTTACGTATGTAAGTCACGGCTCAAGAGGCATTCCTTCCTGTGACAAAAGAGGGGAGAATACCTCTTCTAAGAAAGCACCTGCCACTATGGATTTAGAAGTTCTAACTTTCAAATTCTGCTGCCCAGTTAATTGGGGGTGGGTACCTCTTAAATCGGGACGTGGGTGGCCCTGTGGGTTAAATCACAGAGCCTAGGACTTGCTGATCAGAAGGTCAGCAGTTCAAATCCCCGCAATGGGGTGAGCTCCCGTTGCTTGGTCCCTGCTCCTGCCAACCTAGCAGTTCTAAAGCACATCAAAGTGCAAGTAGATAAATAGGTACTGCTCTGGCAGGAAGGTAAATGGTGTTTCCGTGTGCTGCTCTGGTTCGCCAGAAGCGGCTTAGTCATGCTGGCCACATGACCTGGAAGCTGTACGCCGGCTCCCTTGGCCAATAAAGTAAAATGAGTGCCACAACCCCAGAGTCAGCCATGACTGGACCTAATGGTCAGGGGTCTCTTTATCTTTACCTTTACCTCTTAAACCAATCAAAATATTTTTAAGCAACCTTAAACACCATGCATATTTGCTAGACACATGTTCCACTGCATGTAACAGGGCTTACTCCAGAGGAAGTGTGCTCAGGATCACAGCCTAAACGTTGCAGCTCTAAGTCAAATCACTTGTTCTTGATTAGATGGAATTTACCAAGCATAAAGTCAAGTTCCCATATTCAGAGCTGCTGGATTTCGTACCCCATCCCCTCCCAAACACCAAACATATGGTATGTTACCTGTTTTCTGAGTGTTTTGTGAAGCTGGAGAAGCAGAGAAATAAGGAACCTGCCCCCTGGGGCCATGAAAGATGGAGGACACTGGAATCTGGGCTGGAGGGAGAGACTGGGCCACAACCTTCTCTGAAAGCCGTTGCCCAGCCTGGGAGGAAGGATGGCAAGACTGAAAAGGCTGGGAAGAGGTGGGAGGCACGAATGTCGGGGCGTTTTCGACAGGCCCCTGTATAAAGTCACTAAACTCGTCATCGTCAAGAAAGGCAGAGGTTTGGGAGACAGACACAGTAGAATGGGATGGCGTGGGATGATCTGCAAAATGGAATGAACACACACACATACGTACACACAAAATGGAAACGAATGAGGAAAACAAGGCTTTTTGCTAAGGTTAATAAATAAATAAATATAGAGGAGGAGGGAGGGAGGGAGAGAAATGGCCATTTCTAATGAAGGCAGAACGGGGTTGCTGGCAATGCTGACTCCATGCCAAGCAGTACTGCTCAGCGTTTCGTAAACTGCTGTGATGAGGAACATTGCTGCATTGAGGAGGTCCTCCTGAGAGTTCCTCTGCCCTCAGATGTTCAGGTGGCGGCGGCCCAGGAGAGTGTATTATCTGTGGCAGCCCCTAAGTTGTGGAACCCACCTCCCCTTCAAAGGGCGTCTGGCAACTTCACTATACAGTCATACCTTGGTTGTCGAACGGAATCCGTTCCGGAAGTCAGTTCGACTTCCGAAAACGTTCAACAACCAAGGCACGGCTTCCGATCGGCTGCAGGAGCTTCCTGCACTCAATCGGAAGCCGCGTCGGACGTTCAACTTCCAAAGAGCATTCGCAAACAGGAACACTCACTTCTGGGTTTGTGGCGTTTGGGAGCCAAAACGTTTGAGTCGCAAGGCATTCAAGATCCAAGGTACGACTGTATAGGTTTTGCCGTTATGTTGAAGATGCGCCTTTTTATGCTGGGATTTGCCACCTAAGACGCATGTTGTTAGTACCCATCCTAATCTTGTGACTAAAGCTGCTGCATTTGTCCTGTGAAGGTGTATGGAATGGAGGCAGTAGTGACTGACGCTCCTTGGGACTGGCAGGGTGGAAGGCAGGGAGTCCAGCAGTAGGTGGAGCCAATTAATTCTGGTTCCCCTCTCAAAAAACAAAACAAAAACAACAAAACAAAACAACAAAACAACAACAACAAACAACCTTCTCCCTGTTGAGTTTTATATGGGTGTTGCTATGATCCTGTCACAGTTAAGCACCCTTCAGTCCTGCTGATTTCAAAAGGAGAGGTTGAACCAGTGGGATTTATAAGTGCTTAACTCTGGTTTCAGTATGTCCTTAATGTATTAACAAATGAAGAAACGAATAAAATTATTATCAACTAGAGAGATGCTAAATGGTTTTTATGAAGCTGCACCTCACTATCTTAGCCCTGCCCTGGTGGCCTCCAGAGGTTTCTAGACTACATATCCTGTTGTTGTTGTTAATTTATTTATACCCTGCCCTTTTTCCCTGACGGGACTCAAGATGGCTTACAAATAAAAATAAGAACCGCTAAAAATATAGAAAAAGCAATTATGCATTGACAAAATTTCAACTATATGCATGTATTAAATCTATTTAAATCACACAAATAATTAAAATACAAAGAGCACGAGACCAGCCCTTTCATTAAAAGGAGTTGGTTTCCAAAAGCTTCTTGGAACAGGAAGGTGTCCACCTGCCAGTGAAAGGACAACAAGGAGAGAATCAGTCTCTCTCACTAGGGAGAGAGTTCCAAAGTCTGGGAGCAGCTGCCAAAAAGGCCCTCTCCCACGTCCCCACCAAGTGTGCCTGTGAGAGTGGCAGGACCAAGTGTCATCCCTGGCCATTGGCCATGCTGGCTGGGACAACACTAGGAGAGCACCAGCTCAGGGGTTTTCATTCTCCGCATCTCCGATGAAAAACGTAATACCTGAGTTTTTTGGATGTGATGTCGGCGTGGGGTGCAGCTTCGCATCTCTGGAAAACCCATCCAGGTTCCCTTTAATAGCTTCCAGTGCATCGTCTCTGCTCTTCTCACCCATCTAAAACAGAGACATTAGAGCGTAAGAAAAAGAAGGCGGCTGGATCAGGCCAAAGGCCCCTCTAGCCAGTGGCCAATCAGTTGCCCCAAAGGAAAGCCTGTAAACAGGACCTGAGTGCGAGAGCACTCTCCCCTCCTGCGGTTTGCAGCAACTGGCATTCAGAAGCACCCTGCCTGACAGTGAAGACAGTGAAACTCTTAAAGGCATGTGAAAAATATGTTTTAAACACTTTTTCTTCCCCTAACAAAAGGCAGTTTTGCATCTCAGTGGCAACCTTTATCAAGAGGCCAACCGAAACAGTCAAACTAAAACATTTTTTTGTCCGGGAGAAGTTTATCATTTCATATCTTGCTTTTTGTTCAGCCTTGTACATTTCAGTGCTCTGCACTGTTTCATTAAAAGGTTACATTTTCTATCAGCTGTGCTCATTTTCCCAGCTCAAGAGAAAATATGTTAATGAATTTAAAATCCGATAGGGTGCTGCTGAAAACGCCCCTTGTCAACAGACCTTTGGCTTCACGCTGCTTAAAAGCCGTAGCTTTTGTTTCTGCTCTTCAAACTGGCGCCTTTTTCTTTCCTCTTCGAAAAACTTTTGCTGGTGTTCATATCGTTTCCTGCAACGAGATATAAGCCATGCCATTATTATTTTTGTAAAAAAGGATTATTAATTAGGCCCTATGTTTCACCACTATTTATTTTCCTGCTTTCCGCAGCTAAGTATTACATTTCTTAAACCAGTGATAGGGAAACCTCTTCCACCTGAGGGCCATATTCCTTCTGTGCAATCTTCTGAGGGCCATGTGCCCTTGGTGGGCGGGGCCAGAAGTAAAAGTGGGTGGAGCAACCCATGTAAATTTTACCTTTGTGTCCTAGGCTAGTTTCTATACGCACTGACATGACCCTTCCTCTTCTCTATCTAGACAAGCAAGAGACACTGTTCAAAGACAACACCAGCCAAGTAAGCACACCAATGGGGGGCTGCAACTGACCCCAGGCTTGCCTTAGGACAAAGTAGCACTGTCCAAGACCCAATCTTGTTCGAGGCACTCTTAATCTCCAAATTCAGATGTGATATTCACAGCTGCCTGGCTGAAATGGGTTCTCATGATAATGCTCCTTGCTTGCTTGGAAGGAGAGGGGTGTTTGTGTGCGTTTAGAATCCTGTGGTTTCTGAAAAGTTGGAATGTAGCCTACTGTACAAAGGTCAGTCATCTCCTTTGCTCCACCCACTTTTGCCACTGGCTCCACCCACCACTGGTATATCAGCCCCATATGGTTACCCACAAGGGAATGTTCTTCTTGGGCTATAAAGGCACCCCGCCCCTAGTATAAGGCCCCTAACGACCCTTCTCATCTCCATCCCAACACTTGGGGGGGACGGGACAGCTAAGCGTCACTTACTGTTGCTCTTCCACAAACTGCTTCCGCATGTCCTGGGTGTACTGAGGAGCTGCTGGGCGCATTCCTAAGAAGGGAGCCTGCCCCATGTATGACATCCCAGCCGCTGGCATCGGGCCCAGATTCATGCCACCCTGGGAAGCAAATGAAACATATGGCATTCAATTATTTAATGTTAAAAATAAAAAACCACCTTGCTAAGAGCAAGAAACATTGGGGGAAGCCAACCCAGGAATCTGGGAAAGGGATGCAGCTCAGTGAGAAAACACCTGCATTGCGTGCAGAAAATTTCTGGTCCAATCTGCAATGGCCACGGGACCTGCTGCAACAAAACACTGCAATGTGGAGGGTTCCTGCTTTACAGGAGTTCCAACCAGCCATGCACACTTCCAATACAGCTCGTCCCATTCCATCCATCTCCCATTTCAACTTTCTGTCACCACTGAGCATGCTTTGCCTTCGTTGCCCTATAGCATGCTTCCCCCAAGATTCTGCACTCTCATTGGGGCTTGCTGCGTAAAGAGTTCCTCATCCCCTCCCCGTAACACCCGAGACACAAATAGGAGGTGGTGGCAGAGTGCCGGCACCAGCAGTTGACAAGGTGGGGCACTGACCCAAGGGCCACAGGGGCTTGAAAGGGCACCTCACCAGCCCAACCTGGCTGCACTGCTGTTCACCAAATGCTCTGTCTCTTTTTCTTTTTTAGCAGCAAGCTCATTTCCGAATAAGGGCTCAGCTCACCCATGGTGGCTGCCCTAGCAGTGTCTGAGTAGGACTATAAATCTACAGGCTGGGGCATTGCATTTGAGTAACTTTAAGATGGCAGGAGGCCACAATGGATAGCAGCCAAGCTTAGCTCCCATTCAAAAGGGCTCCCACCTGCCACAGCTTTGGTACGCCTGGGGGCAGGCAGTGAGCATGTGGCCCCATGCCAAATGCCAAGGGCCCCCCAAAGTCTGACACTGGTTGTACCCAGATGGTATTTTGAGAAGCCTCACAGGGTGGCTTTGGTGCAAGAGCAATGATACGAATTAAAATATTTTATTTATGAGAAAGAAGCTTAGGAAGGGCAAGCCTGCCGGGCCACTGCCTTAGGTTTCTCACAATAAATCAGCAAACTCCACTCCTCCTGATACAGATCAAAGCCCAAGAGCTTCCTGTTGACTAAGCACAAGTCTCAAACCTGCATGGTCATTGTTCCAGGAGGCATCTGAGAGCCGTAATTCATTCCAATCATGCCCTGCATGTTGGGCTGCATGACCGACACCATCGAGAAGCCTTGCTGTTGCATGGGAATCATACCTACACCAAGGCATGAAAGGTTTGGTTAGGATTCCCTGTTAGATCTAAATTTTATTAATCCACAACTACAAGCATAGACCACCGTCCGGCCCAACCATTATTTCAATATTATTAATCAACTGATTATTTTCATTGATTCTTTAATGTCTAAACCGCTTAGTATATTAAAAAATATATCTAAGCAGTGTACATAAAAACTGAAAACAGCAACAAACAAAACATTACAAAAACACAGCTACATCTAAAAATGTTACATTCATATAAAGTGATATGAATATTAATTCATTTTCCTTCGGACACACCCTCCCTCTTAGCCTCTGGGTTCTCACCCAGGGTCCAAACAAACTCTCAGCTCACCCAGAAAAGTCTCACAATGAGAAGAGTTCCTGGAAAGAGCAGGTAGCACCCTGGTCTCTCACTCTAGACTTGCTTTTTATGGGCAGACCCAGGGTGGATGGTACTTCCTCCGGCTGCCTACAGCTGTGTCCCATTCAGCTGCACTCCTACACCCAGTTCCAGGTATAGCAGTTTGTTGAGTTTCTCAGGGGGTCCAGCTCTTTCTTCCCCCACTGTCTCCTCCTCCTCCAGCTGCTTTACTGTCCCATAGCAGGGCTTGGTTAAGGGGTTGGGGATGGGCTGCAAGATCACATACTCCTTCTGTGGATGGCTCCAGATTTAGGGGGGAGGCCCTGGACACAGTGCCTTCCAGCAGGTCCCCTTCTTCTGCCACCAGACCTAACATACGGTGGCTGTGGGTAGCTCCAATCAATGCCAGGTTGCTGGGGCTAGCTGCCATTTTTAATTTCACACATTCCCATTGAGGTAGGGTCATTCTTGGCACTTGGGAAAGTGGAGTGGCAGGCAGACCGAAGCCACCCAGGGCAGGTATCAGAGGTGGGATCTGCCCCAAGTCTGCCAGGCAAGGATGCCATCCCGGGATCCCTTCCTCCAGCTCTTCCCCTCTCTGCAAGTCTTCGTCACGATTAAGGGCTACATCATTACAAGCCTTGATAATGGTTAATCTAACTGGGGCTTCCATTAGGAAGAGCTCTGAAGCCAACTAATTAGAATTGACCTTGGTCAATGGCAGCACCGGCATATTCCTTAAGAACAGTTAACACCTCTAGGGAAAGCACCTGAAATGTAACTCTGATTTAAGAGATTTATCTGCACCAGTCCTGCATTGTCACGTGTCCTGGTATCTCCCCAAGGAAGCCTTGGAGCTCCACTTCTATGGAAGAGGAACCTACAAATTTTTTTACCCCAAGTTTCAACACCCTCATCTTGAGCATCACATCTCACATATTAGGAAGAGTCAGATATTTTTTTAAAAAAAACAACAACTCTGAGAGATATATTTAACACTTGCAGTTTTGAACCTCGTTCAGTTCTAGCAAAGAGTCCTCCAGATGGTGTCAATTTCCCATCAGCCCTGGAAAGCCTGGGCCCAACCAATCAGGGATGATGGGAACTGGAGTCCAAGAACATCTTGGAAGGCCGCAGGTTCCCCTTTCCTGAGTAATAATATACTTTGCCTTCCCCTCCCATTAAAGTTTGAACTTTTACGTACCCTGAGGACCAAGACCACCCGCAACAGGAAACATGAAGCTGAAACAGAAAGTGGTGAAAATTGTGAGTCTTCCATTTTGAGTAATAGTGCAAGCTCTAATGCAAAGCATTGCCTCAACTGTTTGGGGATCAAGTTGGTAAATGAATTGTGGCAGGCAGCTCTCTCCTGTGTTGGAGCTGTCTGCAAACAGAGCAGTTTAGTGGAATTTCCTTTCTGTCCATCAGGACAAGTCACAATCCAGATTCGAAGCTAGGTTTCGTTCTCATTTCCACATTCATATGTTCTATGAAAAGCAGTTTGTTTTACTGTTTCATTCCATAAAATGGAATTAGAGTAAAGAACTTTTAAAACAATAATAAAAGCATTTTACTCTCATTACATTTTATGGAACAGAACAGTAAAACACGCATACACACACAGAGTGTAAGCAAGCAGTATTCATCCAGGTATGAAAGAGGCATTGAGGGCAAATTCCAGCCAGGCAAAAGTGCTCTGGACATGAAGGAGGACTACATATGAGTACGACTTGGGGAGAGTTCTGAGGGCCAGAGAGAGAGGCCTGCAGGGCCACATTCAGCCCCCGAGCTTGAGGTTCCTCCCGCTCCTGCTTGAAAAGCACACTAATGTAAGAAGAGTCACAACAGATCAGGTCCATTTAGCCCAGCAGTCCGGTTCCCACAATGGCCAAACCCAAAGAACCTGGATGCTCCTAAGCAGGACTTGAAAGAACGAAATCTGCCTCTTCCACTACGGCAACTCCTCAGTATTCAGAGGCAGAGGGCTACTCACAGCTGCTGAATAAGGAGGGGGAAAGTGGCCATTTAACACAGGCACACACCCTTTTTAATCTCCCTTTCACAAGGGACCATAACAAGCCCATTAAGTTGGGTTGATGCATCTTCCGTTTCAAGGAGTGTCTCAAGGAGATGTACCTGTGCATTTGGAGAGTCTCGTGGACGGATGTGATCCTGTTCCACTACAGGCAACTCCAGATTTGCACGGGGGTTGCATTCCGGGTCATCGCATGCAACTGCGAAGCCCACATAAGCCTGCCCTACCCTGTTCCGCCCCTTTTCCTGCCACTTCCCTGTTCGCAGTGATGCAGGCATGCACGGTCCCATGTGCTTTGAACAAACGCAACACGGTCGTTGCCTGTATACAGTTCTTTGCAGAGCCACCTTGCGTGGGGGGAGTCAACAGGGCCGGAAGCAAGTCTTGCGATTGTGGTTTAAATTTTGAAATTGTGAAATGAATTGTTCGTTAGCAGTTTTTACTTCACAGGATCAGCTTGGAGTTCTGTAAGATATCCCAATATGTTGGGGGGGGGACCACTGCCTCACAGTAAAGGCTTCCAGGGGACCAGCCCTTGCAAACCCATGGTGCTCTTCAACAGGAAGGCTTCCTCTTCAAGTAGCCCCCAAGGTCTCTCTCTGTGGCCCTTGGGAACCACCCAAAGCTCCTTCACAAACATCCCTCTGCACCCCACGACCACAGCCCTCACCAGTCCGACTTTGCACTCTCCTTGAGTGTTTTGCTTGGCTGGAAGGTGTCCTTGAACTCTGATAATGCTCTGATAGTGTCTGGATGCAAGACAGAACTAGCCTACTATACTAAAGTAAGATTCACATTCATTGCTCTGCTCACGTTTGCATCAGGCCCTGTCCACCCCTGGCATGCGGCCCTCAGAAGGTTGCTCAGAATGGAGCGTGGCCCTCCATCTGAAAATGCTTTACTACTTCTGTGTTAAAGTCCCAGGACAGTCTCTCCTGCCCTTAAAAACCAGCAGGTGCACACTGCTAAGAGCAAAAGAATAAGGGCATTTGATGAACGCTTGCATTAATCATAAGGAACCCGCCACTGAGGTCAACATGCCCAATTTCAATCTACTACTTGCTCAAACTGGTGCTAATTCAAACCTACATGTCACGTTTAAACTCCCCTCCGGGAGTCACACATCTGCATCAGTGCTCCACACGCACGACCCCCCCCCAATCCTTCTGTGTCAGGATCCTACCGCGAAAGAGGGGGGAGGGAGAGAAGGGGCAAAACCATGACTTGATCTGAGGGGCTCGTTGCCATTCCACACAGCAAGCAAAGAAAGGCCGAATCATTAAACATGCATGGCTTTCCAGAGAAGCAGTGACTTATTTATAAGCAGCTACAAAGGAGAAAACACACTCCTGCTAATTAGAGTCAGAGAGAAAAGAAGACACAAGACCAACATTTTCTCTGATGCTAAATCAGGAAGGGCCGTAGCTCAGTGGTGGAACATTTGCTTGGCATGCAGAAGCTTCCAGATTCAATCCCTGGCATCTCAAGGTAGGGCTGGGAGGAATCGTGGAGTGCCACTGCCAGTCAGTGTAGACAATACTGAGATAGATGGACCAATGGTCTGATTTAGCAGAGGGCAGCATCCTACGTTTGCTTATTTATAAAATATATTTATATACCGCCAGTGTGCCAGGGACATTTTGCACCTGGCTTTCAACCACTTTCGACCATCTAGGGATCATTGGATCTGGATGGTTTTCACACACTAATATCCCAACCTGTAGAATTCTATCAGTTATATTTTATCTGCACCATCAGAATGAATTCTCGAATCCACACATTCAACTGGAAGAGATACACCAGTAGCTCTGGTAAGAAGAAGAAATATTAACTTGAGTGGGTATAAACTCAACATTCTCTAAAGCCAACAGAACCTTTTACTTGTTCACCTACACATAACTGCCTGTCCCAGGGCAAGCTGAACTCCCAAAGGAATGTTTGTAGGCTCCAAGAATTATGCCTCTTTGAAGTTGGTGGAATTTTAAGCAGCCTAGCCAGGCACAGCCCAGCACAGCAGCCATATTCTCTCTGGGAGAGTGGCTAACCGATATTGGGACTGCAATCCCAATCCTCAATCCATCAAGCTGGTATAAAAACAAAAAATAAATAAAACTGGGAAGAGGGATGGACTGATAAAGCACTCTCAGCATCTCAGCCTTCCACTTGCTTTACATTAATCCCCCTTAAGTGCTGCACCAACCATACCCCGTAACAAGAAAACGCTTCGCCTATACCCAACACACTTTTGTTTATCATTTAGATAAAGCCATACACTTATTTATGTAAATAAAAACAGAGAAGTATCTACCCCAAGAAGCTATCTAAAATAGGCAATGGGGAAGGTGGACAGGAATGTCATACCTTTGTAACCTGTAGTTTAACCTCTTTTCAAGGAATATTGGTAGCAGAGGGGCTTGGGGTTTGACTGAGCGCCAGCACAGGAGATGTAGCTGTGATTTCTGCATGGCAGGTGGTTGGACTAGATGACCCCTGGGGTCCGTTCCAACTCTATGATTCTAAAATCACTCGCCCCCTTCCTCAGTTAGTATTTGCCCCGTAGGGAAAAAATACTGGCAGCCATAAGATACCTGTATGTTTGGCTCCATGGGGCAAAAAACAGTTTTACAACACAACTTTTAACAGGGAAATGGCTCCAGGGTCAGAAGAAAGGGTTAGATTCTCCCTTACCCAGCCTTGCAGTTATGATTGAAATTGCTCAGCCACTGCTATTAATAACTTTTAAAAGCAATGGTAGCCCCTGATCAGGGCTGAGGATGCAACTTTGACATGGGAACTTCAAGTCTAACCTATCTCATACGGTTGTTGTTCAGGTGGGAGGGTAGCATACCCTGCGGGAAGAGATAAACTAATTAATAAGTAAGTGACATTACTGCACTATGGGTTCCTAAACATCCATTAAAATTACACAGGAGGGAAAAAGGATTATTAATAGAAAAAGGACTCCAGAATACCTATACCCTATCCTAAAACAAACCCAAGTTGTGTTCCTCTGCCTTGAAATTAAACGTAAGTTTTAAAAAAATAAATTAAGAATTGAAATAATAAATTTCTGAAACCCAACCTTGAGCATTCCTCCCCCACTTTAAAAAAGTGGATAGTGGAATTCTGTACTTGTTATCCAAAAATGTAAACTTTTTTTAAAAAATGGACTCCTCACCCATTCTCTCTCTTTCTCAGTTTTATATAATTGATGGGGAGAGAGAACCTATTTTTCTCATCTATCTATAATTTACTAAGGGGAGGAATCTCATATTTTCTCTCTCTCTAATTCTATCTTTCTAATTTAATAATAAATAAACTGATGAATGTTAAATGCCTAATAGACAGATATCTGCCCAATCTTTACATTCAGCCAGAAAGGCAACAATGAACGCATGATGTTCACTTTACTTCTAGAAGAAATAGGGCACTCACAGGGTACGCCTAACCATGTCTACTTAGAAGTAAGTTCTACTGAATTCTGTGGGGCTTACCCCCAGGTAAATGAGATGAGTATCTCAATGTGTCTTGCAGCACCTACTGATTAATTAAATTTCCGTACCGTCCTTAATCCTAGATTATGGGACTCCTGACCTAGTATTATTAACCAGAAGCCTCAATATTTTATTTTGAGTACCTGCTTAAAGACCCTGTGGTTGCAAGCAGACCTCTTACCCATGTGGGGCTCAGTCAACTGGTTAGCAACCATTCACTGACCGTATGTTAAATACTGGGTGTTAAATACCTCCAATGCTGTTATTTTAAGGATCACCAACCAGATAAGGCATATAAGCCCATACAACACCTTCTTAGGTATCCATCAGAATGGCTTTACAGTATTTGAAGATGGCGAAAGATCCCCCTGCCCCAACCATTATCCATACCTATCTGAGAAAGCAGATTAAGTACACACACATTATGTGTACTGTATGCTACTGTATACTATGTGTGTGTTGCCTGTTGTAGGTTTGTGTGTTGCCTTTGCTGAGTAAGACTCCACCCAATCAATCACATTGAAAGCATCTGAAAGAAAATATTTACCATAACATAGGCAAGCAGCTAACATACAGGCTGCGCATTGCCACTTTGCCTATACGTGCAAATACTAATATCTATAGCCTGTGCACTATATAGATAGATACACACACATATAAACGCACTCCTTTGGGTGGAAGGGCGGGCTCTAAATTGAAGTAACCATGATGTACGTGTTAGGTATGATGTAGGTGCCTATCTTCTCCTTCCTCCTATGTATTCTCCTATATATTTAGGTTTAATTGGTGCGGGGTGGGGAATATCCCCTCCTCCAAAGGCTTTAAAAGTCGCTCCAGGGAGCCGGAGGGATCCTTGAATAATCCTTGAATAATCCGAGATGCCAAAGTCACCTGAGAAGAAGCGCGCCTCCCTTCCCGCCTCCCCTCCGGCCGCGGGATCCCCTCCTACCTGGCAGGCCCGGGGCTTCCTCCGGCGCCACCTGCTGCTCCCGGAGGCGGCCCGGCGGTGCCCGGCAGAGGAGCGGCGGCGGCGGCCGAGGAGGTGCTGAGGGAACCGCCGCCGCCGGCTCCCTGGCCCGGCCGCAGCGCCATCTTGCTGCCCGGCGACTGAGGCAGGAGCCCGAAGCAGGGCCTCCCTCTCGGGCTCCTGTCAGCTGGGCCGCCGCCGCCACTTCCGGGGCAGAGCCTCCTCGCCTCGCCCCCGCCAGGCCCGGCCCACCGACTGGGCAGCGCCCGCCTCGAGGGGCGGGAAGGAGCGGGGTCTAGCCTTCTCTAGCTCTATCTCTCTCCCCCACAAAGTGGGGAAGTGAGGGGTCTTGTGAGGCGTAGGGAGAGTCACCCTATAGGCAGGTGCCTGGGTGCCCTCCAGGTGTGGGGAAGCTACTATTCCTTCATCCCCACTGGCTCTGCCTTAACAATAATTTGATTTATTACTAGGCTTTTGATTATTATTACCTGTCTTGGGCATAGGGGTCTTGTGAGGCGTAGGGAGAGTCACCCTATAGGCAGGGGTGGGTGGTCGCTGTAGGTGCCCTCTAGGTGTGGGGCAGGATGGAGGCTGCTATTATTCATCCGATTCCTAGAAGTCTCTCCATCCCCACCAGCTCTGCTTCACCAATAATTAGATTACTAGTCTTTTCATTATCATCATTATTATTACTACCTGTTTCCGTTTGACAAAGCTGCCCTGAGTCCCCCCTCCCCGGGGGGGGGGAGAAAGGAGAGGTATAAATAAATATAATACTTTTTAACTGCCTTCTCTCCAGTCACCTCAAGGCACACACAGTAAAAATAAGTTTTAACACATGCCAAAAAAAAAGCCCTGACAATACATTGAAGAGTAAAACAAACTACGGTCAGTACCAGTAGGATCTCGATTTATATGCATATGTCAGTCAATACTCAGCACTGTATCTTCAGAAAGATGTATGCTTGTGTTTTTTCTAGCTGTAGACCTAAAGCTTTTTGTAATCTATATAAAGATTAGAGATCTAACAGCTATAAAGATTTATCAAGATGGGTATATAGTTCTCAGATTCCTATATGTATTAATCTCTATTAAATATACAATTTTGACAGCTCATATACAGATCTAAATGAGCAAATATCTATAGATATATGCAGGTGTAGATTTCTCAATATATTGCATGTTTTTTCCCCTGAGGTGTATCTAACGAGGCCTTAAAATAGATCCATTCCGATCAACAGACATGACCAACATTTTATGTGGACTATTGTATGACTTAGGTGAATAAAACCCCATTATTAAATTCATAAAGGAAATAGATGTTGAATTTTTAATAATAGGTGTGTGTGTCTGCAGAGGTGTTTCTCATTTTGCTACCCATCTCTGAGCCTTTGGAAGGATATTGGTAAAATACAGTGGTGCCTCGCAAGACGAAATTAATTCGTTCCGCAAGTCTCTTCGTCTTGCGGTTTTTTCGTCTTGCGATGCACGGTTTCCCATAGGAATGCATTGAAAATCAATTAATGCGTTCCTAGGGAAACCGCCTTCAGACCAGGTCCGGGGACAGTCTGTCCCCGGACCTCTTCTGAAGGCTGGGGGGGGGGGGACAAGGGCTTTTCTTCCCACCCCCAGCATTTTAAAAAACCCTGGGACAGCGGAGGACTTCTCCGCTGTCCGGGGCGATCTTAAAATGCTGGCGGGCGGCATTTTAAAATCGCCCCGGACAGCGGAGGACTTCTCCGCTGTCCGGGGCGATTTAAAAGCCCCTGGGAAGGCAGGCAGGGGGGACAAATACTTTCGCCCCCTGCCCGCCTTCAGAAGGTGTCCCCGCCCCCCCTCCCCGCTTCGGAACAGCGTTCTGAAGTGGGGCGGCTGGGGCAGGTCTTCCCGCCCCCCTCCCCGCTTCGGAACAGCGGGCTAAGCGGGACCTCCCGCCGGGCATGCGAGGCTTGCCGACATCTGCCTGAAGCAGGGGGCGGGCTCCGCAGCTCACCCCCTGCTTCGGGATGCAGGCTGCTGCCCCAAGCCTTGCGCGCAAGGCTTGCCGGCATCTCCCCCAAGCAGGGGGCGGGCTCCGCAGCTCACCCCCTGCTTCGGGATGCAGGCTGCCGCCCCAAGCCTTGCACGCAAGGCTTGCTGGCATCTCCCCCAGGCAGGGGGCGGGCTCCGCAGCTCACCCCCTGCTTCGGGATGCAGGCTGCCGCCCCAAGCCTTGCGCGCAAGGCTTGCCGGCATCTCCCCCAAGCAGGGGGCGGGCTCCGCAGCTCACCCCCTGCTTCGGGATGCAGGCTGCCGCCCCAAGCCTTGCGCGCAAGGCTTGCTGACATCTCCCCCAAGCAGGGGGCGGGCTCCGCAGCTCACCCCCTGCTTCGGGATGCAGGCTGCCGCCCCAAGCCTTGCCCGCAAGGCTTGCCGGCATCTCCCCCAAGCAGGGGGCGGGCTCCGCAGCTCACCCCCTGCTTCGGGATGCAGGCTGCCGCCCCAAGCCTTGCGCGCAAGGCTTGCCGGCATCTCCCCCAAGCAGGGGCCGATCTTAAAATGCTGGCGGGCGGCATTTTAAAATCGCCCCGGACAGCGGAGGACTTCTCCGCTGTCCGGGGCGATTTAAAAGCCCCTGGGAAGGCAGGCAGGGGGGACAAAGACTTTTGCCCCCTGCCCGCCTTCAGAAGGTGTCCCCGCCCCCCGCCCCGCTTCGGAACAGCGTTCCGAAGTGGGGCGGCTGGGGCAGGTGTTCCCGCCCCCCCCCCTTCGGAACAGCGTTTTAAAATGCTGGGGGTCGGGAGCGAAGCGCTGCCGACCCCCAGCATTTTAAAATCTCCCCGTGTCCCGGGGAGGTTTTAAAATGCTGGGGGTCGGGAGCGAACGCTTCGCTCCCGCCTGCCAGCATTTTAAGATCGCCCAGGGCAGGCGGGGGGAAGGCAGGCGGGGGGGAGCAAAGACTTTTGCCCCCCGCCGGCCTTCAGAAGAGGTCCTCTTCTGAAGGCCGGCTGTGGGCAAAAGTCTTTGCTCCCGACCGCCAGCATTTCCCTATGGGCTTTCGTCTTGCGATGCAAACCCATAGGGAAATTCGTCTTGCGAAGTGCCTCCAAAACAGAAAACCCTTTCGTCTTGCGGGTTTTCCGTCTTGCGAGGCATTCGTCTTGCGGGGTACCACTGTATTTATTTCTAGAATGGAGAAGGAAAGCATTCTTAGCAGTGTAGGGCTGGCCAAAAAGGTTCCACACCTCTGCTCTATAAGAGACATCTCTCTCGTTATGGTGTATCTTTTCCTTTGAACAGCTTAAACCAAAAAATTGCAACAAAAATGAAGAAATATTTAGGAATATAAGACAGAGGCATAGCAAAATCATTTGGAGGCAGTTTATTGGGGAGACTTACAGATTTTATGGCCGATGAACCTGTGTAAAGCATGTAAATTTGTGCAAGAAGAACACACTCTTGGGTATTTCCATCCACAGATATTGTACTGTGGATTTAAAATTCACTTTCCTGTGTGTTATAAATTTGCAGCATCAAGCCTGCAACAACTGTGCCTTGCACCTTATAGCAGCTACAGAACCTAATACTGTATAGCAAGCAGGGAACCTGTGGTCCTCCAGATGCTGTTGGAGTACATGGAAGTTGGAAACCCAACATCTGGAGGGATCCACAGGCTCCCTATCCCTGCTTTATTTGCTAGACTGGGGTACAAGAGAAAGCAATCTGAAGGCATAAGTGGCAGGGCACCCCTTCGGCCCTCCTGCCTTCCTTTACTGACATGGGAAGTCCCACTCAGCACTCAGGGATGCAAGGACGTTTATCATCAGTGAAGGAAGATGAGCCATTTCTGCCATTGTGCTGTCGTCCTTGAAGCCTGGCAAAAAAATGTCACAGCACAGGATGGCCTGACCCCCCCCCCAACAATGGCAGGAAAGGGCTTGCTTAGAAAATCTGCCAAAAAACGTAACAGAGAGAGGCAAAATGCAGCCCAATATAAAAGAAGCTCTTTGTTCCATCAGTGGTCCCAGATTCCTACAAATAACATAGCACCCTTGCTTATTTTGAGCAATCCTTCAAGGCACTGCATCAGTTTTCTGGAACAGTCTGTGCCTGAGAATTCTCGGTTTTGGCTTTCTTGGAATCTTTCTTCACTCCTTTCTGAGCAATTCTCCTAAAAGGGAAAAAAGTACCTTCATGTAACCAATTTAATAACAATCATCAGGCTCTTATAGCAGTCTACTAGCTGTCAACAAAGCAGATTGTGTAGAGTGGGGCCTACAGTTGTAGAGTACGCTCAGCGCATGAAGATCCCAGGTTCAAATCCAGCTAAAAAGGGGCCTTGGGTTTTGCCAGGTAGAACGGGAAATGCTAGGCTAGATAGACTGATGGTTGTGTTCAGTCTAAGGTAATTTCTTATGTTCAATATTTCACTTCTGGCAGAGTTTAATACAGAGCAGGTGCTTATGTAACGCATATAAATATGAGCTACAGAGAACTGAAGGACTGTGCCTAGCTGCTAATAAACAAAAAAGCTGGCATGAGAAAGCCTATTTAAAGGGTTTTGGGTTTTTTAAAAGCTAAGTAGAAAGGTGTGAATGTTAAAAGCAATCAGACTTGAGGATTTACCATATTTTTCGCCCTATAGGGAGCACCGGCCCATAGGGCGCACCTAGTTTTCAGAGGGGGAAATCAAGGAAAAAAATATGATTCCCCCCGCACCTGCAGCTCTGGGAGCAGCGGACAGGCTGCACAGCCTGTGCGCTACTCCAAGACCTTTTCCCTGCTTTTGCAGGGGGTGGCGGAATTCCCCCACCTCCCGCAAAAGCCCACAGGAGCCGCGCGCGACTCCTGCGGGCTTTTCGACCAGGAGGGAGAAGGGACTGAAACGGCCAGTCAGTCCCTTGTCCCTCCTCAGGGAAAAGCCCCCAAGAGCGGCGCGCTCTTTAAGGGCTGCGTGGCTCCTGCGGGCTTTTCTAGGTGGTGGGGGAATTCCCCCACCTCGTAGAAAAGCCCGCAGAAGCCGCGCAGCCTTTAAAGAGCGTGCGGCGTTTGCCTGCTTTTGCGGGAGATGGGGGAATTCCCCCATCTCCGGCAAAAGCCCACCTTGGGGAAAAGCCCCCAAGAGTGGCGCGCTCTTTAAAGGCTGTGCGGCTCCTGCAGGATTTCGACCCACTTGTGAGGCTGGCGGTGGGGGGAAGCACTG